AAGGGAAGGGGGGAGTAAATGTGAAACTAGAGGCCAATAGGTTCATTTGGGTATTGAGTAAATAGTTGGGAATTATAATAAACACTTTATTTCTGAAAATACTACAGTGATAAATAGTCAGCATGGCTTTTGCAAAGCAGAGTTAGTCCTTTCAATCTGCCAGGGGTTTTAAAGATAACTGGATCACAGGACTGAAGTCAGGCTGGGCTGGTGCAGGGCTCATGGGCTTCCATCCAGCTGTTGAGGAAGTTTCTCACTGAATGCTCTTAAAGAAGCGTTGTCCTGACAAAAGCTCTTTCTGTAAATTAGTGACTGGTTAAAGGCAAGGAAGCAAAATACAGGGAAGATGTTGCAGCTTTCACAGTGTGGACTGGGGAAGAAAGGTGCTGGCTGATTCCTGCAGTCATCTGAGATGCTGAAATGGAAATGGAGACTGAAAAGTTGGGAAAAGTCTCAAAGTGTGCCCAGTAAAGCCTGTGGGGGAACCAGCCATGCATGTCATCACTGGGGGCTGTCCCTATTCATGGAGGAGACTGTAAAATGGCAGAGAGTTTGGTGTCTGCCTACGGGTTGTTCCAGAGGTGTGTTCAGTGGTTTGTAAAGGGAGAAGGAGCAGAGCAGAAACCCTCCCACTGTGCTGTAGTACCTCTGATGCTGTGTGCTTCCTACTGCCACCCCATAGCCCATGGGGTTGGAAGAGGTGCAGAACAGGATAAAGCAGGTGGTCTGAGAGCTGGCCCAGTCTGCCTGCGAGGAGGGGGTGACCTCCTGTACCTTAGCTGGGCCAGGAGAGCTCTTCAGGGAGAGGATGGCAAAACTGAATTGTACAGAGTGGGTGACACGGAGACCCTCTCATACCCTGAGAAGTAGAAGCCACTTAGGAGGGCAGCAGGATTTAAACAAAATTCTTGGGTTTTCCCCATCCTTTATGAGTTTGTAGTACTGAATGCCCCTGGGTGCTTTGACACCCGGGGTTACAGGTGGGTTTGTCATTGTCTGGGTGCAGCCTGTCACTGGAGATCCTGAGCTGGGCCAGCCTGGGCAGACGGGGCACAGAGGTGCTGCCTGCCTTGCCCCACTCCTGCCCCCTCAGGGTCAGAGCACAGGCCTAGAGCATCCCCAGCTGGTGCAGAGCAGCACAGAGCAGCCTGCCTTGCCCACCTGCTGTAGGAGCGTCCCAGGGTACAGTTTGCCAGGTTTAGGCTCCTGCAGCTGTGCGTGTTCCTCCCCCGGGAAGGGGCTCTGAGCATGGCAGTGTGTCGCTGTTGGCCATTGCTGCAGACACTGTAGCCCATTCACACCACGAGCTTGGTGGCTCATGGAGTCGTGTGTCTCAGGCCACTCAGGCCGAGGTTGCTGCTGCAGCAGAGCCTCCCTGCAGTGCTGTGTCCCCATCAGCGTGACACCAGCCCTTCAGCCTCTCATCCTTTGGAAGTAGGGATGATGTTCCCTGGGGCAGCAGCACGGCCACAGTGAGCTCCTGCCTGGCACAAAGAACCAGCCAGGCTGCTGCAGGCAAGTGGTAAGGGTGCTCTGGAGCCATGCAGGAGCACAGATAAGGCTGGCACTGCTTTCTTAGTCTTTTCCTGTTGACAAGAAGCCAGGATAAACTGAACCTCATCAAGGGGAAGTAGAAAAAGCCCATTCCCTGGCTTGTGGCAGTGAGCCAGACTCTCATGGCAAACTGTACTTGGCAGCACAGTCCTGTGTGGATGGCCAGAGCTTGCTGTAGACTTTAGAAGCATGACATGGAGCATTTTCCTCTCAAGACAAACCAGGAAGCCTTGGGAGCAGTAGGATTTCTGGGCTGGCAGCAACTTGCCTGTGCTTGGTGGGAAGCAGCCTGGTCTCCCTGCCCTCTGTGTGTCTGCTGCCCGTGCGAGCCTGGGCAGAGCCTGGTCCCACAGGCTGGCATTTGATGGCCTGTTCATGGCAGAGCCTGTGCCAGAGGCTTCTGGCTGCTCCAGCTGGAGGCAAGCGCTGCTGACTGGGACCAGCACTGCTCCTGGGACACAGCAGGCCTGATGCCCACAGGGATCCCAGGGCAAGGCACTGACACTGAACATTAGGAAAGCAGACTGCCTGCTCTTCAGGGAGATTGTCAGTGGGATCCCCTGGGAGACTGCCCTCTAGGACAAGGGAGTGGAACAGAGCTGGATCTTTAAGGAAGCCTGGGCTGGGGCAACCCCCGGTATCAATCCAGGCTGGGAGATGAACAGATCAAAAGCAGCCCTGCTGAGGAGGATTTGGGAGTGCTGGTGCATGAGAGGCTGGACATTCCCCGTCTGTGTGCACCAGCAGCCCAGAAACCAGCCATGTCTTGGGCTCCATCAAAAGCAGCATGAGGGAGGTGATTCTGCCCTTCTGTTGTGCTCTGGTGAGACCCCACCTGCAGTGCTGCCTCCAGGTCTGGGATCCTCAGCACAGGAAAGACATGAACCTGTTGGAGCAAGTTCAGAGGAGGCCACCAGGTTGATTAGAGAGATGGAGCACCTCTCTTATGAGGAAAGGCTGAGAGAATTCAGTTTGTTCAGCCTGGAAAAGAGGAGGCTTCGGGTTGACATAATTGCAGCCTTCCAGTACCTAAACAGGGCTTACAAGAAAGATGGAGAGGGACTTTTTACAAGAGCATGTAGTGACAGGACAAGGAGGAATGGATTCAAACTAAGAGAGGGTAGGTTTAGATTAGATATTAGGAGGACGTTCTTTGCTGTGAGAGTGGTGAGACACTGGAACAGGTTGCCCAGAGAAGCTGTGGCTGCCCCACCCCTGGGGGTGTTCTAGTCCAGGTTGGATTGGGCTCTGAGCAACATGGTCTAGTGAAAGGTGTCCCTATACGTGACAGAGGGTGGAATTAGATGATCTGTAAGGTCCTTTCCAACCTAGGCCATTCTGTGATTCTAAATTGTTCCAGCTGACCCTCAGCTTGTGAGATCTGAGGAATGCAAGGCTGAGACTGATCTTATTGCACAGCCAGTGGGCTCAGAGGCAGCATCTAGAGTGCTGATTTTCTCCTGGCCCAGAATATATTCCTGTCAATGGCTTGGGTGCCCTTTGATGGGTGGTCCATGTGGTGGGATGTTTGCTCTCCCCCATCCCAAGACAGCAGCAAGGGCCAGGGCAGAGCACTGCAGGGGGCTGCAGGCAAGGCAGGGGTGCTGACCAATGCCAGCCAAGCTTGCAGCCCCACTCACGGGTGGCTGCAAGGGTGTTGCCCCCTTGCAGGCTGTTTCATTTACTGCTTTTATCTAATCCAAATCAGAAATCCAAGTGTACAAAGTACCCTGTGTCTAGACCACCCTGGATGGGCTCCAGCCCTCATCCTGTAAGATGTAAAGATTTACATTCTCTCCAACAGCTCTGAGGTGCCTGAGCAACTGGATGGTGCTGGGGTTCTGCAGGGCCAGGCATTGCTGCCAGAAGCACTGGCACCTCAGCACCAGGGAAGTGGCTTGTGAAGGAACCAGCCCTCCTGGCCTGGGGCACCCATGGGTGTGGGGTGCCAGGGCGAGCACTGCCCCTGTCCCCACAGGCACAGTGCTGCCCGGTGCCTCCTGGGCCACTCACCTGCTGCCCCACAGCCTCCCTACGAGGAGGTGCCACCTCCAGGCTGGCAGGATGGGCCCATGTCTTGTCTCATGACACAGCCCCCAGCCACTGCTGGTCACGCTGCTGGGCTTGGTCTGGTGCTGCTTTGCCAGCCCCACAATGAACCAGCCCAGCAGTGGCTGCTGCTTCTCTCTGCTCATGGCTGAGCTGTGCATTAAAAGGAGGAGCTAATTAGGTGGTTGTGGGTGAGAAGTTTGCCGTCTCCTGTGAGGGCTGTGGGGTTTGCTCTGCCTCTGCGGGGTCAGAGGAGCAGCTCAGACTGCTCATGCTGCCAGGGCAGCGGGCAGAGGCCTGCCTGGGCACCTGGAGGTATCCCAGCAGTGCCACACGGGATCGGTGCTGGCCGTGGCCTCAGCTGCTCTCCAGTGGCCTCTGGTCACAGGCAAGGAGGAGAGCGTGCAGTGGGCTGACCGAGGTGCTGCCTGTGCCAGGGCACTGGGGATGGGAACTGACTGGTTGAGCAGCTGAAGCTGAGCACGACCTGTTCCTCTCCCCGTCCTTACTGCACACAACTGCGCTTCTGCCCAGTGCTTTGTGCAACCCTTGCTCTCTCCCGCTTTGGCAGCTGCTGTAAGAGATGTTTCTTGTTCCCACTGTAAATTGTCACCCACAGCTCCCTTCCTTGGGCTGTCTCCTGCCAGCCCCCTGGCCTGGGCTACTCTCGAGGAGCCGAGGTCGCTGCTCATGAGCTTGGGCCTTTACCAGGCTACTCGAGCAGAGCTGGGCCCCTGAGTGCTGCTGTCTGGTCATGCCTCCCGCAGCCAAGCATGCCAGGGAGGCAGCTGAATTGCTTTCAGTGTTCAGTGCTGGAAAGTTCTCAGGAAGTGAAGCTGTAGCAGGAAGGGCAGCTCTGCTCTCCTGGGCTGGAGGGAGCCCCAGCACTCAGTAGCTCCCGGGAGAGGTGCCAGTCTAACCCTCTTTTGCCCCAAGGTCTGCCCCATATGGAGCTGGTGCCCACTTGTTGCAGGCTGCAAGGCATCCTTAATTTCCTCTCCTTGCCCTGTTGGGCCAATCCCTGTCTCTGGGCAACAGGCAGGAGGTGGCCTGGGCACAAGGGTCTCTCTGGCCTCAGCAGAGTGAGGTCTGGAGTGTCCGATCGAAGGCAGGACTGTGTTTGGGGCACACACTGGGGCCAACTTGGGACCTGCGTGGGCTGGTGGGGAGGCCAAAAGGCCTCTGTCTGTCACCTCTGTTGGGCAGGGAAGGGACGTCCTCCCTGTTGAGCTGTGTCTGCCCGTGGTGGCCATGAGCCATAGTCCCCATGTGCTGAGGGACACTGCTGTGCTGCACTGGGGGATTGGAGCCTCGTGGGGCTGCGGTTCCACCCGCAGCACCTGCTGTTTCCAACTGTGCCATTTGCTTCACTCGCTGCCTTTCTGTTCTCTCTGCAGCCGCTGACCTTAAAAGCGCTGAGCCTCTCCCCAATGTCGTCTGCCTGGGAGTGCAAGGCACAGGACACCTTTGCCAGCAGCGAGGAGCAGGACGAGGTGCCCCACCAGGTGACAGTGACGGCCACGAACACGGGCAGCCAGTGCCAGTGCCCAAAGGAGGAGCCCAGTGGGGCTCCCCAGAAGCGGACGAGCACCCAGAATGGGATGCAGGACAGTGGGGGCGGGGGCACAGGGGTGAAGAAGAAACGGAAGAAAAAGGATCTGGGAGAGCAGGAAGGGGGAGATAAAGCAGCTGTGGAGGTGAAACCAAAGAGGAGGAGAGAGCCTAAAGAACCAAAAGAGCCTAAAAAGGCGAAGGAGTCCAAGAAGCCGAAGGAGCCCAAACAGAGAGAGGTGGCCAAGAAGCCCCGCAAACCTCGGGAACCCAAAGCCCCAAAGGAGCCTAAAGACAAGAAGAGCAGCGCCGAGCCTGCCCCCAGAGCAAGACCCAAGAAGAGCAGGTGGGTGGTGGTGTGGCCGTGTCTGTGCCTGGTGTGGACAGGGCTGTGGGCTTGTGGGAGCTGCAGCCCGGAGAGTGGCACTGGATGTGCAGGCTGCTTGTGCTGCAGGCTGGACGTGCCGGTTGGGAGGCCAAGGTGAGCTCTGCCCACGCACAGGCAGGACAGACAGGTGCCCTTTTGGGGATGAGGCCCTGCGAGACCCCGGATCCATAAGAAGACCAAAGAATCTTGGCCTCTCCTTGGTGTGGCCTTTATGTCAAGTGTCGTGGGGCAAAAGGGACCTTAGGGTGGTGTCCCGCCAGGACAGCAAAGTGCTGTGTGGCAGAGGGCCTGTCATGCCTGTTTTGGGGCTGGGGCAGAGTGTATGAGTGAGAAACACATGAGCCTGGACTCTGTGCAAGTGGGGCTCCCCGCACACCCAGGGGCTGGCAGTGTGCCTTCCCTCAGCTCAGGTTTGGGAGGATGGTGGAGCACATCCCATCCCGGCTCCCTCTCCCAGGTGGCAGGAGCTGTCCCTCCTTGCAGCTGCGGAGCTGTGCTGGCAGCCAAGGCCAGCAGTGGGGGGAGGCCTGAGGACTCCCTGGTACTGCACAGCCCGGCGCTGCCGCCTCCGCTAATTCCTCATCCTTTTAATTAACAGGCTGATTGGACAGAAGCTCTGATTTCTTTTTAATTGGGGATGTGTGCGCATAGCAGAGCAGGTCTCAACAGCACCACTGTCATTTGGTTTACTGTTGTGGACTGGTGAGAGTAAGTGGTTTTGGAGAGTCCTGTACAAAGCAGGCCCATCAGCTGGAACTGAGCCCTCCTCATGTACTGTAAATAATCCATGAGCTGAATATATTTGCACTGTAAATGCAATTACTACAGGAGCCAGCTGGGAATTTTTCGGCAGAATCATTCTTTGTTACAAAACATCAGTTTGGTTGATCTTCTTGAGGACACTTCCCTGGAAATGGTCTCCGGAATGGACTTTCCCAGTCTGTGGGATCTGCCCACCTTCCTACCACCATGGCTGCCCAGGGCACGTGTGCAGGGCGAGGACTGAGCCCTGGGTCTTTCCACAGCCCTGCTTCTTCAGAGCTCACTGACAGCCAGATCCTGGAGAGGCCAGGGCTGCAGAGCCAGCACCAGGGGGGCCTTTAGTGCCATTGGTGTGGGCTGGTTGTGGGCAGGAGGAGGTGTGGGCAGCTCACCAGGGTGAGTCAGGTGCCACGTCTCCAGCATGTCCCTGAGCCATGCAGTGCTGTCACTTCTGGTCTTCCTCGAGCCTGGGGCTCTGCACATGTTCGTTGTCCTGGGCTGGTGAGCCAGAGCAGATAGGAGATGGATGGATCAAACAGTGCCAGGAGGGTGAGGAAAGGGCTCCTCCAGGCCCCAATGAGGGCTGCAGCAGGGAGATGGAGGTGGAGAGGGAAGGAGAGGGGCAAGAAAGGGAAGGATGAAGCCCATGTAAATGCAGCATTGGTTCCCAAGGAGGGTCCTGGGATCAGGGATGCAGCTGGCAGCTTTTCCTACTAACACCTCTGCTCCACCAGTGAGAACCTGCCATACAGGCAGTTCACAGAGGTCTGCCTGTGCAGCGGGAACTGTGGGACCCGACCAAAGCAGGGGAAACCTGGGAAAGAGGAGACCATGGAGGCTTGTGCTCGTGAAGGTATTCATGGCTCTCGTAGGAGCTTGTTGCCACCCTGGCAGGTCCTGTGGCTGCCAGCAGTACCTTCACAGGGCATCGAGGGTCACAGGGCAGCCCATGACCCTGGGACCTGCCATGGACAGGACACCCTGCTAGAGATGGGGCTCGTGGCAGCTGCAGAGCTGGAAACCCTGGCCCTACTACCCGGGCACGGCAGGGACTGCGTGTACCAGGAGGGGCTGAAGGATGATCCACTTGCTGTGCTGGGCACCAGCAGAGCCCTGGTGAAGAGGCCAGTTCGTGCAAAACAGACCATTTAATATAACTCTGTAACACATCATACAGCCAGAAGAAACTGTGTGTGGGAGTCTGGGAGTTCCACAGGGCTCTGCACATTCCTAATGCTCTGTCCCAGTGGAGCCTGAGCCTGTTGTACTTCCTCCTGCTCACCTGCACCTTCCAGGAAGACCTAGTACCAGTCCTGCTGCTTGGAAAGCCCAGCTCATGGGTCCTCCTTGCAGCTTCTCTGCCTCCACAGCCTCTCTTCGAGCCTCATCTCAGACTTGCTTCAGCCTCTGGGTCAGCCCCCAGCAAACTCACCTGTGGGAGTGTCAGGTGGAAGCTGTGCAGGGAGCAGAGCTGTGTGTCCCCCTGTGCCTCCTGCCCAGGACGGAGCTGGGGAGGTGTCTGGGGGCCCCTGGCAGTGCAGGGAGGGGAGGGGAGAGCAGCAGGCAGGGTCAGTACTCTGTGCAGATGGAATGATTGCTGGGAGTCCTCTAAGTGGCAGATAATGGTAGCATAATTTCTTCTAAATTATTTCTAATCATAGTCAATGACTGGTTCATGAATGAAACAGTTGTTAATTGTGACGTACAAATCAATATCTTGGGAGTTATTGCTCAGTGGAAGCAGCGCTCACAGAGCATTTTCAGGGCCTCTAATTCAAGCGTGGATGCACAGCCAGGGCATTTTTGGCCTGAACAGCAGATTTTTACCCTTACTTTTTGACAGTCCCAGGCAAGCAATGATTTTTCCCATTAAATGGACCTAAAACCTAGACATGGCTTTGAAACTAACCATTCCTCTGACACTGTACAGGTCTGGGATGTGGAGGGAATGGATGGCGGGGCTGGGAGTGAGGAAGGGGGAATTTCTCAGCCCCAGGACAGGCACCAGCACTTTGGAGTCTTTCCCTTAATGTGTTCCTTGGAGAGGATAAGGATGGACAGGCACGTTGGGAGCTGTTGTTTCTTACCCTGGTGTGTCCTGGTCCCGTTCCCTCGCACAGGAAGGTTGTGCTGGGTGCCAGGGGCTGCAGGTGGCCCTTACCCTGAGAGTGTCCATGGGGCTGGGCTCGTCTTCGCTTGTTATTCAGGGAGGTGGTGGGATTCACAGGAGCAGAGCCCAAATCCCCTCTGTAACCATCTGCTGTGATGGGCCATTGCACCTTTGGGAGTGAGACCTGCAGCCGTCTGTGTTCGTGGCCATCACAGGGCTCAACTTCCCCTGGCTGGAGGCACAGTCTGTCAGCTGCTGTCTTGGGAGGGGACTCAGTGCTATGGCTCAGGAAGACAAACCATGATCTGGGGCAGCTTGTGCCTCAGCACTGGTGTAAAGGTTTACTGGGGTAAACTGGTTTGCTGGCAGGACTCTCTGACACACACAGGAGTTGGCCAGCAGTGTGGCCAGTGTTGGGAGTGCTGTGATCGGAGCAGGCACCTTGCTGCCCTGGTCTGCTGGAGTCTGTGGTGGGGACATCCTTTTTGTGCCTGCACTGGACCCCATGAGCTGAACCCCAACTTCTACAGCCCTTGTGGGGCTGTTCCCCTGGCTGGTGGGAGCTCCCAGGCAGGGCAGGTGGACCCTTTCATCCCAGTACTGGAACTGGATGGAGAAACACTTGGTGGTGATCAATGAGCATCACGAACTGGGGGTCCTCAGTGCTGGGGGAGGCCCCAGGAGCCTTGAGGTGCCTCTGGGTGATCCAATGGGAGCAGAGCCCTGTGCCTGCTGCCTCTCCCCTGGGATTTCTAGGACAGGATCTAACTATCAGTCTGCCTTGGCAGCAAGGACACCCCTGTGGAGAAGAAGAAGAAAGGGAAGAGGAAAAATGAGATACCAGCGAACAGTTTGGATTTGGATCAGGACCTGCTGAGCCCATCCGTACAGAGCCCAGAGGAGTCTGCGGAGTCAGCTGACAGCCAGGTATGTCCAAAGCCCTCCACTGCCAGTGGGGGAAATCCCAGCTGCCTCTGAGTGGGAGAAGAATTGGGCCCCTGGGTGCAGTGGTCAGAGAGCATGTTCAGCAGTGTGGCTCCAAGGCCAGCTTCTGTCAGCCTGAAGTCAGCTGATGGCCCAGGGTTAGGTGCACGTCCCTCAGCCTTGAGTGTCCTTCTCCATCATGACTCTGGGCAGCTCCCCTTTTCCTGGCACAGCACAAGGAGGCAGGTTGACCCTACAGTCTGGGGAGCTGTGTGCTCTGTGTCTCTGCAGGGCTCCTCTGCCTCACACCCTGGGGACTGATGGGGCTGTGTGGGTCAGGATGGAGACCTCGGCACCACGGTGAGGGGTTATCTACAAGGAGAGCCAGTTCTCCTCACCACCTCCATCCTGCTAGGGCAGGGGTTGGCCTGGACATCCAGCAACCCTGGGGCATTCTCTCTGCCTCTCAAGCAAGGAGGAGATACCTGGTCTGCCTGTGTCCCCTGGCACTGCCTTTTTCATCCCGTGTACAGAAACGACGCTCCGGACGGCAGGTGAAGAGGAGGAAGTACAATGAGGACCTGGATTTCAAGGTTGTGGATGATGACGGCGAGACAATCGCTGTGCTGGGAGCTGGGCGAACCTCCGCGCTCTCTGCCTCTACTCTGGCGTGGCAGGCGGAGGTAGTGCTGGGTGTGGGATGGGGGGTGTGGGATCTGCCTCATGCAGCGTGTCCCGGGGTGTCAGTGCTGATGGTCAGGAAAGTAGGGGCTCCCAGCCCAAGGATGGGGTGAGAGTGTGTCTGTCTGGAAGGGTGCAGGCTGGCTTTGCAGGAACTGTGAGATGGGCAAGAGAGGCGTGCAGGTCTGACTGTTGCCCTCTTGCTGGGAGAACAGGACGTCTGGAACATGTCACATAACTGGACACGTCCCTGAAGAAGTGACCCAACCACTGCCCATGCACACCTTTGGCTCTGGTCTCTGTAGCTCCTGTCTATGATTAGTCTATTATTTTGTCTCTGCCAGCTGAGGGCTTTGTAGGTGCCAGGTCATCATTTTCAGCCCTGGCTGCTCTCCATCAGTGCCTTGGAGCAAAGCAATGCCAGCCTGACACTTGCCAGCTGAGCTGATCTGCCGGGCAACGTGGCAGGGACCAGCGGGTGCCACTGCAGTTTGGGCCTTGCTGTCCTGCTTCCTATGCCCACTAGTTCAGTGCTGGCTCCTGGTGGGTGCTGGTGGCTCTTTCCTGCCTACCTTGACTGTGTGTTGGATTCTGCAGCTCATTCAATTTCTGATCGTTAACAAATCTGCCAGATATTAATAACGGTCACTAGTTGTTTTCACAGTGTTCTTGTAACCCTCTGTAGTCCCCTCTTCCCAAAGCTTTGGTGGGTATTAGTCAGCTCTGTTGTTCAGCCATTAGATAAGCCCTGGCCCGATGGTCCATGCCTGGCCTGGACCCATGGGACGTGCTGTGGGTGCTGCTTCAGCTCTGCCTGGGGCTGTGTCCCAGCTGGGCTTCTGGCACTCATCTTTCCAAGTGAGATTTTCAAAGCAGCAGATAGGTATGAGCTGCCACTCTGTTCTCCTCTCAGTTCTGAACTTCCACCTCGGTTTGTCCTGCTCCAGGTGAGTTATTAAGGCTGTTGTCCAGTAGCAGCCAGGCTGGGTGGCTGCTGTGGGGCCTGGCCAGCCTGCACAGCTGGGCCTGCCCATGACTGCTCCCAGGGACAGAACTGACCTGGCAGGGCAGGATGTGAGTGCTGCGACTGTGATGCTGCTCTCTCCATGGCCTGGGCTTGCACCTTTCCCCTTGGATCCTGGCCACAGTCCTCAGAAGCTCTGTGGGGCAGTGCAGGGCTCCTCTGGCAGCCTTCAGGCAGCGAGCAGTGAGCCATGGACCAATTGTAAGGGCTGTGGGGCAGTGTGGGAGCTCCAAGCTCTAGGACACTGAAAGTGGCTGTGGTGTGCCCCTGACCATGTTCACACAAACCCTTTGTGCCAGGCAGGGTCAAGCAGAGCCCAGCAGTGCCAGGGTGGATGCCTGGGCACAGGGAAACGGGCACTGTGCAGTGTCTGCAGCAGGAGCACCTCTGCACGCTCCCCTCAGCCAGGTTACCCTGGCGTGGGGCAGAGCTCCTCAAATAGGGCAAAAATCCCACTCTGGGCCTCAGATGGCTGCTAAGGGCCCAGACAGACCTGCTGTTCCCCTGCTTACTGTGTTATGGTGCTGGGTCCAGCACCCTGCCCTGCACACAAGCGTAGTGCCAAGGCAGCAGTCAGCTGAGGGCTGAGGATGGAAGGGTTGCTGTGGCCCCGGGCATGGCCTTGGCTTTCCCAGACACTTTCAGGTGAGTGGCATGGGATGCCCCATGTGTCTGTCCCTCCCCAGCATGCCCTGAGCCATTCTTTGAGAATCTTTCTAGTCTATAAAGCTACACCACAGGACTGCTTTGCCTTGGACCAGGCTCTGCCTCCATCTGAAGGGGATGAACAAAGTCCTTCTCTTTTCTGCTCTGCACTTTGCTCCTCCTGCTGCTGTACCATCTCCCAGACAGGGCAGAACCGATATTTCTAATGCTCGAGCAAGCTCCATGTTTTTGGTGTGTGTCCTCTCCCATGAGTCTTCCCGTGCCTCTCCTCTGCAGCACAGACGGGCACAAGCCCAGCTCTCTTGCCCCTTGGCATTTGGTGGGGCTGGTCCTGGCACAGATGAAGCCAGGAGAGCCTCCCCCTCCCTGCTCTCAGGGCTGGCAGCAGGGCAGTGTTAGGGCACCTCCAGCAAAGCCCGTGTGCTCAGCGAGAGGGGCTGTGCTGGGAGCCCGGGGTGCCAGCAGAGGGGATCTGCAGCCTCAAGGGGTGATTCCCTCAGGGGAGAGTTGGAGCCTGCAGAGGGAAGGAGGCAGCACTTTGAGCCTGCCAGGAAGAGCTGCATGGACACTGGTAGGGTGAGATGCTGTTGCCTGTGTCCTGAGGCTTTAGACAGGTGGCAGCAACAGAGGGTGCATGTGGCAGGGCCCCAGAGCCCTGCTTTCCCGGGGTCCTTGGGGCCATACAGCACTACAGAGCTCTATAAAGGCCAAGGCATGTCCAAGATCTGGTGTGGAGAGTGCCTGGGAGCAGAAATGCACATGTTTTTCCTTCCTTGGGTCTCGGGGCAGAAGTGCCCAAGTTCCCTCCTCTTTTCTGGGAGAGTTGCTACCCTCTCCAGCTGCCCTGGTGTAGCTGGAAGGACCCATACAGCAAACCCAACAATGCTGTGGCCTGACTTATCCAGGGAGGACGGGCAAAGGGTGAGTGTAGCTGGGCAGGCAGCACTTACACCCTCACACCCAGCAAGGGCTCCCCAAGCACAGCTCTCCCAGCTCCCAGTGCCTCTGTCTGCCCAGCTGGTGGACTGGGAGAGGGGCAAGTAGCTGCTCTCTGCTGGGAGGTGCCAGGGCACGTGATGAGCCGGGAAAACAGCTCTCCTCTCCTGTTCCCAGGAGCCTCCTGAAGATGATGCCAATATCATTGAGAAGATCCTTGCCTCCAGGATGGTGCAGAAGGAGGTGAGTGGCAAAGATGTCAGTGGGGCTGGAGGTCCGTGGGCAGAGGAGAGATGGGTCCTGGCTGCCCTATGCAGCGGGGACTTGAGATGTAGCAGCACTTGGTGCTGTCATGCTCTTCCTTGCTCTTGCTCTCGCTCTCGTGGTGGAGTGCTGAGGTGTGCCCACCTTTCTGGGCTGTGGATCAGTGTGGTGCCTCTCCTATCCTGGGTACCAGAAAGCCTCTGGAGAGGACTCAGGCCTGGGCTGATGCCCAGGAGGTGTTTGAGTCTCCCGTGGTCAAGGATGGTCTCACACCATGTTCCCAGGGCTATTACACCTCCAGGGCAGCAGCACAAGTGCCTGGCTGTCCTCACCGTCCCTGGGGCTCAGTCCCTGGAGCCTGTGGCCAGGGAGGGGCTGGCTGCCTGCACCCAGGTCACAAAGCATGCCTCCCCAGTTTCTGCACAGGCTCTGACTGTTGCTGCCTCTCCTTGGTTTCAGGCTCATCCTGGAGGCCTGGCATTTGAGACGGAGGAGTTCTACGTCAAGTACAGGAACTTGTACGTGTGGTTTGTGGTGCTTTGTGCCGTGGGCCCTGTGCATGCAGGAGCAAGGACTGTGTGCTCCCACCTCCATTCCATCCCTAGCTGCAGGCCCAGCATCCCTGTTTTCCAGCCTCTGTCCTCCTGAGCCAGCCATGGTGGTGGGAAGCAGGAAAGCTGCAGCATCTTCAGTGCTTGGTCTTGACCTGATCCTGGGCCACAGCTTTTCCCAGTTTAGGGTGCCATAGGTGTGGGTTAGGCCTTCTCTGGATCACCAGCAGATCCCTGCTGCTCTGTGTGGTGGATGGGATTGGGACCAAAGGCCTTTTGGTCACATTTGGTGACATTTTTCCTCCCCTGCAGCTCCTATCTCCACTGTAAGTGGGCAACTCTGGAGGAGCTGGAGAAGGACCCCAGGATCTCCCAGAAGATAAAGCGCTTCCGGAACAAGCAGGCTCAGATGAAACATATTTTTACAGAGGTGAGAGCAGAGCACGGGGAGCAGCAGTGCACAACCCTGAGCCCAGGGCAGGGGCTGAGCAGGCCAGGAGCTGAGTGCTGCCCCTGACACCTCCCTGCCAAGACCAGACCAGTTCCTGGGCCAAAGGCACCAGGGCTGAGGCTGAGGGTGTGTGACAGTGCCTGGACACCTGTGGCATCACTGCCAGAATTATGAGCAGGGTGACAAGTGACACTTGCCAGGCATTGCCAACTACAGAAGCGGTGTTCAGTGGGAGAGAGGGCACCATGTGGGGCTGGGGGTGCTTCTGTGATGGAGCAGAGATGCTATGGGAGAGAGGGAGCTATAAATATCTCAGCTTAGAGCAGCTCCTGCCTGCTCTGGTCTATAAGCAGATTAATCTTGCTTAGTATGAAAGGTGTTCTATAATTTATCTTGGTGCTCCAGAGATAGTTGTTGAATCTCCTCAAACTGCCCCTTACAAGTGTAAATCAGGCCAGTAGGCTATGAAAATTTCTCCATTGTAGCTGGAAAGCTGGGGGCGTGTGTCAGATTTCTCACTCTCAAGTCTGTTTGTGGTCTTTCTCAGGATGCAAAGAAAAAACATGTGTTGGAATGCACTGTACCACTGACAGTTCATCAAGGAGCACATGCTCTTTTCCTGTGACTAACTAGGCTTGGGGGGTTGTGAGCCTGTTTTTTCTCCTTCCCGAGTGCTAGGCTGTGTGTTTCTCCGAGGACTACTGCTAGGTGGGGCAAGAGGGAGGCAGAGTCAGAAACCAAGGGGTCACCCCTTGCAGGGTCACCCCTTGCAGGAGTGGGGTTCTGTGTATGGCTCTGTGCTGTGGCAGTCACAGCTCTGGATGCTGCCCATCAGCTGGAGCAGACAGCTCAGGGCTTGTACCTTGGGGCCGGATAGGCTGGAGAGGACATTCCTGCCTAACAGCAAGGGCAGCATGGAGCCTGCGACTGCTCTAAAGGAAGAGCTTTGCCTTCCTGTGTCTTCCCTGCCCAGAGACAGATGTCTGTACCTGCATCCAGGGCACTTGGTGTGCTGCACACAGCTAGCAGCATTCTGGGGACAGATGCCCTGCAGCTGTTTACTCGTGTCCGCCATCTGGTTCACCCTGGAATCACCTTGAACTTACTCTCCCTTTTTATTGTTTGCTGTCAAAGCCTGATGAGGATTTGTTCAACCCGGACTACGTGGAGGTAGATCGAATTCTGGAGGTGGCTCACACAAAGGACCCAGACACTGGGGAGGTGGGTGGCTGTATCACTTTCTTGCCCCTCGGAGGGAGGGAGGGAGACTCGGCAGGAGGCCCAGCCCCACAGTGTGCATTGTGGGTCATCTCAGAGCATGCTGAGCCTTCCCAGCCTTTCCTTGTGCAGCCTGAGTTCCTGAGGACCCTTGGCACAGGGAAGATGGAGGGCTTCTGACCCTCCCTGTCTCTGAGCCTGACTCTCTGTGCTGCAGGAGGTGACTCACTACCTGGTGAAGTGGTGCTCGCTGCCCTACGAGGAGAGTACCTGGGAGCTGGAGGAGGATGTTGACCCAGGGAAGATTAAAGAGTTTGAAGCCCTCCAGATCCCTCCTGAAATCAAGCACATGGTAACGTACCCAGAGGTAACGTACCCAGCTGGCAGCTCTCTGCCCTGGGCACAGGGACTGGCTGTGTTGTGCCATGGTCCAGCAGTGCTGACCTTGTCCCTGGTGCTGCAGTGCAAGCCCTGTATTCTCCCCTCTGGGTGGGTTAGTTGTCAGGGTCTGAGGGTGGGCTCTGGAGGCCAGGACCTTGCTGTGACTCAGCTGTCAGGGACTGCTCTGAAGCGTTGTCCTGCTGCACAGCTCCAGCAGCAGGGTCTGGCCTTGCTGAGCATTGGCCTCTCCCATGGATCTTGTTCCTGCTCTCCCCTCTCAGGAGCGCCCAGCGTCCGAGTCCTGGCAGAAACTGGAGAAGTCTCGAGAGTACAAGAACAGCAACCAGCTGCGGGAGTATCAACTGGAGGGAATGAACTGGCTGCTCTTTAACTGGTATAACAGGTGAGGAGGGGCTGGAGGCCTGTGTTCCCAGGACAGCTAGCAGCAGGCCCTGGTGTGTGCTGTCTTGGGAACAGCAGAGCTGGGGAGCAGAGTGGACAAATGGGCCTGACAGAGCAGCCACTGAGTCCTTCAAGTGCTGGAGCTGGCAGGCAGCTGCCAGAAAAATTGGGTTTGCTTTAGCTTTACAACTGAGTCTTTAAGAATGTTTCTCCCTAGGAAATGCTGATGAGTCTTGGACGTAGTAGGGCTTAGCTATGGGTCTAAGATACACCTGATTTTTGGTGTTGGCCAGGCTACTGGTGACCCACTGTGTGGCAGGAGGGCAGAAATGTGCATGTTCTCAGCTGCAGCGGGCCATCAGATGCATCTTTCCCTGGCTCTTGTGTACCTGAAGAACAGCATCTTTCATGCTGACTTTGAATCCATGATCTTGCAAGAAGTTGGATGGTCAGGCTTACCCAGACAGGTTTGGTCCACTATACCAACAGTGGCCAATATCCCCCACCCTCCACGCTGCAGGGTCAGAGAGGTGTGAGTAGAAGTGATGTGCCTGACATCCCGTCAAGGAGTTGGCGACAGGGTTGTTCCTGCTCTCAAGAGCCACGTTCACCTGACCCTGTCCATCTCTGCAGGAAGAACTGCATCCTGGCTGATGAGATGGGGCTGGGGAAGACAATCCAGTCAATCACGTTCCTCTCAGAGATATTCCTGATGGGCATTCATGGCCCCTTCCTCATCATCGCTCCTCTCTCCACCATCACGAACTGGGAGCGGGAGTTCCGCACGTGGACGGAGATGAACGCCATCGTGTACCACGGCAGCCAGATCAGCCGCCAGATGATCCAGCAGTACGAGATGGTGTACAGGGACACACAGGTGAGTGGCACACACAGCGTTCCCAGGATGCATCCCCAGCCCTGGCTCCCTTTACTTGGGAAGCATTGAGCTGCCTGAGGAACTTGTTGTTCCTCTGGAGAGGGAAAGGTGACCTTTTAAGAACTCTTTGCTGGCGTGGCCTCAGGGTGCAGTATGTGAGTGAGCCCCAACTCATGCAGAAGGGGGAAGGTGCAGCAGAGCCCCAGCCATGGTTCTTGTCCAGGCCTATGTGTCTGCTCTGGAGCAGTGTCTAGTTTGGAGACAACACAGCCTGTGGCTAGCAAGAAGGCTTGCAGGAACCTGCCCAGTGCTCGAGAGAAATTATTCTGGGGAAATCCCAGCTCAGAGCCAGATACTGATACTGTCAGACGGGGGGTCTGACAGTGTCCTGCTGCCCTGCAGGAGTCAAGCTCTGGTTTCTGTCTCTCTAGGGTAACCCTCTCCCTGGGATCTTCAAGTTCCAGGTGGTTATCACCACCTTTGAGATGATCCTTGCTGACTGCCCGGAGCTGAAGAAGATCCAGTGGCGCTGTGTGGTCATTGACGAGGCACATCGCCTGAAGAACAGGAACTGCAAACTCCTGGAGGGGCTGAAGCTCATGGCCCTGGTGAGCATGTCCTGCCTGGGGTTCCCCTGGGAGCAGGGTGGGCTGGAGATGGCTGTGCTGAGCATTCAGATACCACTGTCACTGGCTCAAGCCCCATGCCAGGCTGGAGGAAAACCATCCAGGTTGCTAAAGCAGTGCCAGTGAAGGGGGGCCCTTTGATGGACAGGGCACTCGTGCCCTGCAGCTATCACAAACTCCTTCTTACTGAAGTGGAATATTAACCCACAGCAGACTTGGGAGGGAGAGCGTTCTCCTTGAGGGAACACCCAGTCCTCACATCCCCAGGTCTTGGGGTTGTCTCGACCCCATCTCCTTTCATTGCACATGTACCTACATGATGAACCTCTAATAAAAGCTCCCCCTCGTTCCCAGTGCACAGTCATACCTGCCCCTGCTCAGGCTGGCCCTGGCAGCAGGTCCCTCCTGCCCCTTGGTATGGCATGGCTCTGGGCCATGTTGCTTCTTGTTCTGCCTGAGCCCTGAGGAGGGACATCCTGCCCCCAGCTGCACGGGGGCTCGGGCTCTGTCAGTGTCCCCATCTGGCACCAGCACAGCCTTGCCTGAAGGTCTTGTGCCAGGACTGACGCCTGGTGGCAGTGTGAGATCGAGGTTTTGGCTGTTGTTGCTGCACAGAGCTGGACTGGGACATGTCCAGGGAAGCATCCTGGGAGCCACAAGACAGTGTGGTGTGGCTGTGGCTTGGTTAGGGCTGTCACCATGGCCAGGGGAGCCTTTCAGCCTGTGTGTGCTCCCAGGCGACCCAGAGTGCTTCTGAGGCTGGAAGACAAAGAGCATTGCACTCTTAGGACACCTTGGACTCAGGCAATGGGTCTGAGCCCTCAACCTCTTTTCTGTGTGTCCCCAGGAGCACAAGGTTCTGCTGACAGGGACTCCCCTGCAGAACTCGGTGGAGGAACTCTTCAGCCTCCTGAATTTCCTGGAGCCACAGCAGTTTCCCTCAGAGACAGCCTTCCTGGAGGAGTTTGGAGACCTGAAGACAGAGGAACAGGTACCTAGAAGAGTCATGCTGGTGAATGTTGGTGCAGGCCACTGGGACACCTGATGACCAAACCAGGCATGCTCTGAGGCATGTGCTTCATGGAAGTGGATAGGACTCCTCATGGTGGGAGAAGCAAAGTTGTGACAGAGCTCCCAATGCTGCTTTGGAGAGAGGAGATCGGTCTGTGCCAAGGCAGTAGTCTGCTCACACCTGTCTCCCTGCTGCCTTTGCACCCCTGGGCAGCACAGCTCACCTACCTCTCCCACCTGGTCTAACCCTGAAACCAGCAGGAGTGTAGGGGGAATGGGGAGGTCAGTAAGTCAGTTGTCCTTGTCAGGTTCCCATGGAGAGCCTTCCTCCAAAGTTCCTCTTGAGTGTGGGTCATGGGAAGCTGCTCAGTCCCTTGGGCTGTCCCTGCTGTCACTTGAATGTGGGAATTGCACAAAGATTGTCAATCTGGGAGAGCAGGCACAGGCATATGAAGCAACCACCACCTGCTGTCCAAACTCTCAGCTCTCCTCCTGCATCAGGCACCCAAGGCTGCCAGCAGCAGAAGCATGTGCAGTTCATGGTACAGGACTGGTCACTCACACGCCTGCCCCAAGGATGCCAGCCCTTGAAGTCTTCCTGGCTGGCTGCTGAGCAGCTGCTCCAGGGTCACTTGTAGTGAGTTTGCAGCCTGGAGGGGCTCTAACGTCGCCCCCACTGTCCCCACGTGTTTGCCGTGTAGGGAGGGCAGTGAGTCTCTCTGCTTGCTCTGCAGGTGAAGAAGCTGCAGTCCATCCTGAAGCCCATGATGCTGCGACGGCTGAAGGATGATGTAGAGAAGAATCTGGCACCCAAACAGGAGACCATCATTGAGGTGGAACTGACCAATATCCAGAAGAAATACTACCGGGCCATCCTGGAGAAGAACTTCTCCTTCCTCTCCAAGGGTGCCAACCAGCACAATATGCCCAACCTCATCAACACCATGATGGAGCTGCGCAAGTGCTGCAATCACCCCTACCTCATCAATGGTGAGGGCTGTGCACAGGGGGTGTGGGGGGACACACTGGCATCACTGCAACATTTACTGCTCGCTACCTGCAGAACTTGCCCATCTTGGGGGCCAACTCAGGCCCTTGTGCCATCTGCTGATGGTGTGGCTGTGAGCCCAGCACAGGGTACAGTGATCTGCCCTGTTGCCCTCCCTGCAAGAGCTGCTTGCTGATGGGCATCTTAGGGTCTTGTGAGGCTCACTGTGTTTGGGGGTGTTCTGGCACAGGACCCTCTTCAGCGTCCCAGCCTGACTTGTTCTGCCAAGAGCTGATGCAAGCCCTGAAGTTTAGTCACAGGAGTGGAGGGTCTGCTGGAGGTCTCTGGCCAACCTCCCTAGCTCTGACTGCATGGGTTCTGTTTCTTGGGTGCTCCTTTGCTGCTGCCCTGGGTGGGAGGCTGGGGGAGCTGCACTGCCAGCCTCACCAGGAGCTCACATCCCTTTTCACCTGGCAGGGGCAGAGGAGAAGATCCTGGAAGACTTCCGTAAAACACACAGCCCAGAGGCGCCAGACTTCCAGCTGCAGGCAATGATCCAGGCAGCCGGGAAGCTGGTGCTCATTGATAAGCTGCTTCCCAAGCTGATCGCTGGTGGGCACAAGGTGCTCATCTTCTCACAGATGGTGCGCTGCCTCGACATCCTGGAAGACTATCTCATCCAGAGGCGGTGAGTACAGGCTCCAGCATTCACCACAGCTCCTCCACGTCACCTGCATGCACTGTACATAGTGGCAACAATGCAGGGTGGGGATTTGGCCATTCTGTGCCCATGTACCAATGGATTGGAGTTACTGGCTACTGCTGGTGGGTGCAGAGACCCCAGAGCTGAGCAGCTCAGACCTGTCCATTCTGCGTAGCCCAGGGCCAGTTCTCGGAGAGACCAGGTGGAAGTAGGTAGGACCCTTGGTCCTGGTTCCCATGAGGCCCATATCCGTGCACCATGCATGGAGTTGTGACAATTTTGCCATCATAAGAGGCACAACTTTCAAGAACAGCCACAGTGCACACAGGCTGATGGGGCCTGAGCCTCCACCTGGGCACAGGTTCTGCCAGTTAGTCTCAGCTGCCTGTGTGCCCACACTCAGCCCAGGGGAAGGAGCAGGAAGGGATTTGAAAGCCACAGCCAGTTCGGGCCCTGCCGTGACGCTGCTCTCCCCGTCCCCCTCTGGAGCAGGTACACCTACGAGCGCATCGATGGGCGGGTGCGCGGGAACCTGCGCCAGGCTGCCATCGACCGCTTCTGCAAGCCCGACTCGGATCGCTTCGTGTTCCTGCTGTGCACGCGGGCGGGGGGGCTGGGCATCAACCTGACGGCTGCTGACACCTGCATCATCTTCGACTCGGACTGGAACCCACAGAACGACCTGCAGGTAACGGGCCGGGCTGGGCCGGGCTGCTGGGCAGTCCTGTGGCACAGCTCCTGTCGCTGGTGCCAGGAGGGCGGGGCGGGGCAGCGGCTGTGCTGGGCACAGGGTACCATGCTGGGCACAGGGTACCGTGCTGGGAGAGCCAGCAGGACTGCAGGCAGAGGGGACAGGACAGGAGGGAGGTCGCGGTGTGGCTTTGAAAGCACAGATGAGCCACAGAGCAGGCAACACTGTGTCCGTAGCTGGTGTTAGAGCGGGTGCAGTGCTGTGTGCCTGCATCTGCAGAGAGCCATGGCTCCAGCCTGAGGCCTGTGTCCTTGCCCTGAGGGTGCTGGGATCACCCATTCCTGCTCCACAGCCACGCAGGCTGTGCCAGAGCCAGAGCCCTGCCAGGTCAGCCACAGGCATGGAACAAGGATGCTGTGGTGGGTAGGAGCTGGCTGTGGCTTGGATGGGTGAGTGTAGGTGCTGGTGTGGGTGCCACAAGCCACACGGTCCCCATCCTGCTGGGCTCCCTGTGCTGACACTGTGCCCTCTGCTCTCCCAGGCTCAAGCTCGCTGCCACCGGATCGGGCAGAGCAAGGCGGTGAAGGTCTATCGCCTCATCACCAGGAACTCCTACGAGCGGGAGATGTTTGACAAGGCCAGCCTGAAGCTGGGCCTGGATAAGGCTGTGCTGCAGGACATCAACCGCAAGGGCAGCACCAACGGGGTAGGTTGGCTGCCTGAGTGGGGTCAGGCGGGAGCTGCTGCAGGAGAGCTCTCCTCCTCCAAGTGCAAGTCACTGCTAGGTTGGAGCAGAGACTGGGCAGGCTCTGGGGAGGGAGAACCCAGTCCCACACGCTCACACTGCTGCTGATAGCCTGACAGGCTATCCCTGCACTGCCACAGAGTTGGGGGACACATGATGCTGTGTCTGGGGTGGCATGGACTGAAATTCCTGACAGTCCCTCAGGCAGCATTTTGAAGTGACCTCTTTGCTGTAGTAGCAGCAGGTCTGGGTTTGCTTGAGGCGTCTCTGTCCTCAACCTGCAGTGATCAGGGTTGCTGGCCAGGTTGGTGATGCCCCCATGTTCTGGGCAGGTTCAGCAGCTCTCCAAGATGGAGGTGGAGGACCTGCTGCGGAAGGGGGCCTATGGCGCACTCATGGATGAGGAGGACGAAGGGTCGAAGTTCTGCGAGGAAGACATTGATCAGATCCTCCAGCGCAGGACACAGACCATCACAATCCAGTCTGAGGGCAAGGGCTCCACCTTTGCCAAGGTATGCTGTGCTCCATCAGGAGGGAAGGGGAATTCCCCTCGAGGGCTGGGGGAGGAGGACAAGCTGGGAGCATGCAGGGCAGTAGCAGTGGGCTGATCTCCTGCCTGTGTGCAGAGACATGTCTGCATGGAGGCCAAGCTCTCCTGTCCTGCTGTGCCCAGGGGTGAGACCTTGCTGGGACTCCACAGCAGGTGCGGTCTCCTGTCTCTCTGGTGGTCAGCACAGCATTGAGGAGGGGGCCACCAGCCTGGGTGGATGATGGGAGGCTGCCTAGGAAGGTTCAGCACTCCCTTTGAAGCTGGCTCAGGCTAGTGAGAGGCAGAGCAGGGCCTGTGCTCTAGGTGCCAGGCAGTGTCCAGGTGTGCTCTGTCCCCAGGCCGGAGGTGTGGATGGATGCAGAGCTGCTGTCATGTCCCAGCAAGGTGAAGGTCTTGCTCCTCTCATGGGCTGAGGGCTCCTTGCCGTGGCAGCAGACCATGCCCAGAGCAAGACTCTGCCCAGGGCTGTGTGGGCAGGGCTCTCTCGTCAGGGAGGATGGATGAGTTCAAAGCCTGGATGAGATCCAGACCTGAGCTGGGCTGATCTTACTCATGGGCTGAGCTTATTTGATCTGAGTCTATCACCTGGCCAGACTGGTGCAGCCTCGGTGTGGTGCTTTGACAAGCAGAAATGTGAGTGGAAACCTGAGCTGCCAGGGGTGTGGAAAGGAGCTGTGGTACCTTCAGCACAGCCAGTCTCTGTCTCCAGCCTCTCTCTTCTGCTGCCATGAGGCCTGGCTCTGCAGGAAGATCCCCAGAATGGTGGCAGGGTCCAGCTGCTGGGCTGCACGATGCCCAAAGCCAGGTGCTGCTGTGCCATGGGAAGCTGTGTGCAGGGTCTGATGTGCCCCCTGAGAGAGCCCGAGGAGCCAGCTCTGTGCTGTGCTCATGGCCAGTGTCTGCTGGGGGCTCTAAGGGCCATTGATCCCTCCTCATTTTGCATAGCTCAGGCTCTGTTTACAATGGGTCAGACAGGACTGTAGATCAGAGCGGTTCAGCTCCCTTGGGTGAATAAAAAACCCTCTAGCACATATCAGCTTGGAGTGCAACACCCCACGGCGGTGAGACTGTGTGCTCAGACAGGCGTGGGGGGAGATCTCTGTGTGAGAGAAGGCACATCTCGATGGTGGGTTGCACCCTGTTCACTCTTCTTTCTCTCCCAGGCCAGCTTTGTAGCATCAGGAAACAGAACTGACATTTCCTTAGACGACCCCAACTTCTGGCAGAAGTGGGCCAAGATAGCAGAGCTCGATACAGACGCCAAGAATGAAAAGGTAGGATCCAGTTTGCAGTCTGTGTGCCCTACCACTGATCTGACACCACATGGTGTGGTCTCCAGGCAGGAGCTGTGTGCTTCTGCTGGGCTCCTGAAGGGATTGGTGTTGGGCATCAAGAATTACTGTAAGGGAAGACTGACCCACGAGTTAAAGACCCAATTTATGTAGCCACATGTTAGTCTGTGTCTCCCTGATATTCAGGCTGCTCAGTCTGTGCTCCCAGCTACTCCCAAGCCTGGTTAAGGGGCAGCAGCTGGGGCAGCATGAGAAGGGAGGAGAGGATGAAGGAACCAGTGCCCACCTGTGAGCCCAGCAGGCTGGTGTGACTGCTTGTCATGGGGCTGTGCAGAGTTCCCCACAGCACAGACAGGCATGAGTGCTGCCTGCTGCCAGCCACGTGGGTGCAGGCAGCCCAGGCAGCTGGGGTGGGGCTCCAGCTCGGAGCAGTACCAGGACAATGCCATGCTGCCCTCCAGGTGCCAGCTCTGATCTCCCAGTTCTCCATCTGTCTCTGCAAGGCCAGAAAACTTCATTAGTGCAAAGGGGTTCCAAGTGGCAGCTGTGGCTGGGGATTGGTGGGGTGAGCGAGGCTCTTTCCACTTTGGGGGATGCTGTGTAACTGTTCCCCAGACCAGCCCAAGTCCATGTGAGCCCTTGTACCCTGGGCAGAGGATAGCATTTGGCCTCTCAGCTCTGGAGGAGGCCTGGAGAGCTGACTTGAGTTAGTGTGCTCCCGCCCTGGAGCTCACAGTGCTGGGCACATTGTTCCACTGCAGCTCCCAGGCTCCCACCACCCACATCTCAATGGCTCAAGAGCATTGTCCAAACACTTCTTGAGCTCTGGACAGCTTAGGGCCGTGACCACTGCCCTGGGGAGCCTGTTCTAGTGCCCAACCACCCTCTGGGGGCAGAATATTTTCCTAAATCCAGCCTAAACCTCTCCTGACACAGCTCCATGCCATTTGCTATCGTGTCACCAGAGCAGAGATTGATGCCTTCCCCTCTTCCTCCCCTCGTGAGGAAGTGAGAGTGGGCTGGTGCTGCTGCCTGTTGAGAGGCAGGAGGGGACAGAGGGAGTCCCACCTCTCTGCTGGCCCTGCTGAGCTGGTGTGCTAAGCTGCAGCTCAGGCCTCTGCAGCTGGCTCCAGTGCAGCCCCGGGGCCCTGCCATGATTCCAGCTAAGGCAGCAATGCCATAGAGGTGGTGTTACACAGCAGGAGGGAGGCCCTGCAGCTCTGCAGAGCTCCCTGCTCAAGCAGAAGCAATGGAAGGAGGCGACTCTGTGTGTGTGTCTGTGTGTGTGTCCCATGTGCCTGAAATCCAGGCAGATTTAGGTGGCATGGATTCGTTCGACAGGGCGGGGGTAAGGAGGCAGGTACATGCTATTTAATTTCGGATTGCTCCCTCCTGCACCTTCTTGCAATCTGCCTTTCCTCTTCCAGCCCACCTGTCCCCTGACGCAAAGATTACACCTCCTTCAGCACAGCACTTGGCACAGGCGGTGCTGGGAGGGCAAGGAGTGACTCAGAGCTGAATCAGCTGCTGGCTGTCAGCAGTTTGGACCCAGAGGGGCTGATTTTCAGCCCGTCATCATTCAGACTGAATTTTGTCCTGGCCAGGAGTTGTCTCATGTGTGCAGGCAGAGCTGCAAGCAGGTGATTTGGAGCAGGTATCCCAGTGGGATGGTTAGCCGTGGGACTGGCAAGCCAGGAGCCAGAGGTGTGAGCAGAACCAGGGGCAGTGGGGAGAAGAACGTATACAAGTTTTTCTGCCCGTACCTGAGCACGTTCTCTGCTCTGTCCCTCCCAGGAGAGCCTGGTCATCGACAGACCCCGGGTACGGAAGCAAACCAAACACTACAACTCCTTCGAAGAGGACGAGCTGATGGAGTTCTCTGAGCTGGACAGTGACTCGGACGAGCGACCGACGCGCTCGCGGCGCTTTAATGAGAAGACGCGGCGGTACCTGCGGGCTGAGTGCTTCCGCGTGGAGAAGAACCTGCTCATATTTGGGTGAGTCTCACCCCTCCCAGACAGCGTGGCCGCAGCCTCCAGCTGGCCCAGTATCTGTGGGCCATTGGCTACCCCAGCCACTTTTTGTCCATCCTGCTTGCAAAGTCCCCTCCTTCCAGCAGTGACCTCCTGGGTGGGACCTGGGCTCTCAGTGAATGTTTGGGATGGAAGGAGAGTTAGAGGGACAAAGCATGAGCTGACAGTTGGCACTTCCAGAGTCTGCTCCTGCCTCTGCCCTGCTCAGTCCGGCAGACCTCTCTCCCTCTCTGCTCCTGTAATGTGTGGGAAAAACACCCCTGTCCAGGGGCTAGCAGGGCCATGCCCCTCGGAGAGCTCCTGGAGAGAGGTGCCAGCAAGATCTCTCTTTGCACTGCAGTGTTTACTCTGTGTTCCTGCTCTTTCAGCTGGGGACGCTGGAAAGATATCCTGACCCATGGGCGGTTCAAGTGGCACCTGAATGAGAAGGACATGGAGATGATTTGTCGGGCCTTGCTGGTGTATTGCGTCAAACACTACAAGGGGGATGAGAAGATTAAGAGTTTTATCTGGGATCTCATCACGCCGACGAAGGATGGCCAGAACCAGGCTCTGCAGAATCACTCAGGTATTGCGTGTTCTCTCTGCCATTGCATCTGTACTCGTCACCCTGTGCCAGCCTGTGGGACCAAGGCTGCAAAATTCAAAGCTGATGGAAACAGCTTGAGTCTGCAAGTGGTTGTGCTTGAGCACTGTGATTCTCTCAGCACAGAGAAAGGGGCTTCCATGGAGCTGACTTCCACACTGACCCTCAGAGCCAGCAGCAGGGGCTGGCTGAGTGGGGGAGGCTGTTTTGTGTCTCCCAGTGCCATGGCTGGTGCAGAGAGAGCCTTGTGGTGGGAGCAGAGGTGCTTCTAAGTTTTCTCTGGCCTGTGAGTGCTGTCAGGGTTCCCCTGTTTGGTGAGACACTGGGCAGCGAGCTCTTGGGGTGCTGGTGACCCCATGAACACATTGGCTGTGATAGGTATGAGGGTACATATTCCACTCAGAGCACTGACATGCCCAGCTGTTCCTCGGAGCCACACAGGACACAGCATGGATGTTGTTCAGGGACTCTGCTTGTGCCTCTGGGCAGCACTGGCAGCTGTGCCAGGGAAAGCTGAGTGTGCAGCTGAGCATCCGTCCCACTCCATCTCCAGCTTATGTTTCCCCTTGCCGTGGTGCTTGTCCCAGACATACTGATCTTCAGTGCCTGACCTGATGGGTGGAGGTGCAGCATGGGTTTGTCCTGAGACTTCTGCAGAGTCTTCCCCAGGTGATCCAGCCTTCTCTCACTGTGTCTAGCAGGACCCTTGTCCCAGGTCTGGCTGTGCCCTCTCTGCTCAGAGACCTCACTTGCTTATTTTCCAGTGTGTGTGAGGTCCATGTGTCACACTACAGATGTCAGATCTGTAATTGCATCTGTGTTCTGTAGGGTGGAGGTTCCCAGTTATCCTCAGCTTCAGACAGGTCACCCAGAGCCTTCCCAGCCCTGCTTTCCTTCTGGCTCTGCTTCTGTGGTGGACACTGCAGATTGGTCCCCCCGCCTGCAGCTCAGTGGCTGCTCTTTGTGGGCTCCCCTAGAGCCCCACCCTGCAAACAGGACCTTTATCTTTCATGCTGTGAGCACAGAGTGGGTGCTGGCTCCCTGGATCAGCTTGGGGGGTTGTGGTCTGGGACATGTGTTCAGGGCCTGCTTTGTGTCAGAGGGCTCTGGCTGCACAGTGCCTGCACCCTGTGGCTCTTGGGACAGGGGAGTGGGGCTGGGGGAGGCTGTGGCGTCTCTGGGGGAGTCAGAGCCCAAAGGCCATGTGCTGCTTGTTCTGCCCTTCTTATCTGTGGCACAAGGTGAGTAGTGAGAGGGCTGGGGCTCTCCAGACTGCTTTTGGCATCAGGGAGCCAGGCTGAAACCTGGGGCTCAGGCAGTGGAACACAGGGAAGGCTGTTCTGAAGTGGTGCTGCTGATGAGCCCCAGTTGTGTGGTACTTGGTGCTTAAAACCCAACATCACCATTTCCTTCTGCCTGGAAATGTCTGGCTGGGACTGCTTGAGGGCCCTGTGGGGAGCAGAGCAAGAGTCAAAACCAAACCAGCTGGTATGAGTGGGCTTGATTTAGATAATGCCAAATAACAAACAAGCCATGGTTTCAGTGGAGAGTCAGGATTGCTGTAGTGCAAGAGCAGCACTAACATTGGATATTGAGCGGAGAGGTGATCAGGAACTTCTGCATCAACTTGAAGAGTTGCCTGTGAGACCTCCACATGGTCTTGGCTAGAGGAATGACACCATCCAGCCTGACATCAGGAGCTAGAGGAGAGCAGAACCCTGCAGTGTAGAGCAGCCTCTCTGGGGAGCCTCAGGTACCATGTCTGCAGAGAGCTGACCAGGCGAGACATGCCCTGGGCCTCCCTGATGTGCAGAAAGCAACAGCAACCTCCAACCCTCCCTAGTGCATCCTGGAGCTGTTCCTTCTCAATCCCTTATCCGTGTGACCACAGGGGCTGAGCACAGCACCCAGGCAGCCCAGCTCAGAGCTCTGCTGATCCAGCACTATCCTGCCTTCCATCCTGGAAGAGGCCGAGCTGCTGAGGAAGCAGCATTTGCCCAAAGGCCAGTTTGGTGTTGGAGATAGGAACCCTGGTGCACACCACAGGCCTCCAGCAGCCACCCGGGCTGCAACCCTTGTCCTGTCGTGGAGCTGCAAACCTTATGCAGGAGTTGAGGACATGGTGATGCTCTCTCTTCTTCACTGGACCAGGCAGATGGGACAGAACTGCTCAGGCACTCTTTCCCCTTCACACATGGTCAGGAGAGGATGTCTGCAGGACCTCCCTCTATAGCAGCTGCCCAGGGAGGCAGCTTATCCCTCTCCAAAGATTCCAAATAATAATGACCCCACCAGGAATTGTTTCCACATTCTGCTGTGAACTCACATCTTATTTCAAGGTTGAAATGTGTTTCATTTTCAGCTCCAGCCACTGGATCTCATTTTATCATTGTCAGCCAGATGGGACCGCATTCCCTTTCCCTTTGGTACCTTAGCCCCCTGCACTGATCTGGTTCCCCCCCAGCCCTACTTCTAATGCACAGCATAAGAAACAACCCTTACAGATCAGATCTACAGGTCTGCTGGTATTTGATCATTTGGGAACTTCTTGTTTGAACTCTTGTCCCAAATCACTGTCACTGTGACCTTCAGAGCTGGCTGCAGTATCTAGAGAAGGCTCCAAGAGCTGGGCCCAGCGCCAAGGTCCCTTCCATGCTTCTGTGGGATATTTTTATACATCAAGGGGCCATGTTTGCCCCATGCACTTCCCCCTCCTTGGCTTTCCAAGCTGCAGCTGGGAGCTCTGCATGGCCTCCTCCAGCTCCTGGCTCTGCTGCCCTGCCTGGCAGCCAGTGCTGGAGGTGCCTGGTGGCAGTGCCCGGCCATGCCCGTGGTGCCCGTGGTGCTTACTGGCTGCCACTCGCTGTTACAGGTTTGTCAGCACCAGTGCCCAGAGGCAGGAAGGGGAAGAAGACGAAGAACCAGATGCTGCTTCCTGAGATAAAGAACGCGGACTGGCTCGCCACCTGCAACCCCGAGGTGGTCCTACATGATGACAGCTACAAGAAGCACCTCAAACAGCACTGCAACAAGTGAGTCATAGAATCATAGAGTGGTTTGGGTTGGAAGATGTTAAAAAACATCTTGTTGCACCCACCCCTGGCCATGGGCAGGGACACCTTCCACTAGACCAGGTTGCTCCAAGCCCTGTCCAACCTGGCCTTGGACACTTCCAGGGATGGGGCAGCCACAGCTTCTCTGGCCAACCTGTGCCAGGGCCTCCCCACCCTCACAGGGAAGAATTTCTTCCTAACATCTAGTCTAAATCTGTCCTCTTTTAGTTTAAAACCATTCCCCCTTGTGGGAGCCCACACCAGCTCATGGAGACAGTGGGCTGAGGGCCTTTAGCACTGGGAGGGTGGGAGGGAGCTGCGGAGGGTTGACAGCCCACACAGGATCCCCATGTTCCCACTGCTGGACCTCTCTCGGCTTCTCCTCCAGCTCATGGGAGCCGTGTCCTGAGCAGTGACCCTCTGGCCAATGGGCCCCACCAGATCACAGGGCTGGCACTGCTGTGTGACACTGCACAGCTGGTGCCCATCCTGCTTTAAGGAAGTGAGTCCTTCCACGTGGGGAAACATGGTGTCAAGCAGGTTTCCCTGGCCTTGCTGACCTCTCTGCCACCCGGGACAGGGTTCTGCTGCGGGTGCGAATGCTCTACTACCTGAAGGCTGAAGTGCTGGGGGAGGCTGCGGATAAAGCCTTTGAGGGGACCCCTGCCAGGTAGGAACCTCACGGTGAACCCCTGCGAGGCTTCTCGGGCTCGAGCGCTGCCCCAGCCATCCAGCCCAGCCACGTCTGGGCTCGCTGCAGCTCCAGGCGAGTTAGACCTGGGAGTCAAATCCCCACCCAGGTCTTGCTCTGGCAAAACTTCACCTTCAGACAGCCACTCTACCTGCTCAGGGACTGTGGCCATGGCAGCCCCGCTGAGGCAGCTCTGAGACTGCAACACTAGCCCGGGATGGTGGGGACTTTCAGGGACACCCTGCAGGAAAATGGCTCTGTGTGCTGCTTGACAAATGGGCCCTTAATCCAAAGTGGGAGTCCACAGAGACTGCTCCCAGTCTCAGGGCCGGGCCTCAGAGCAGGGCATGCCCCATCACTGTGACTACTGTCCCTTCCCAGCACTGGGGACAGTGGGAACCACAGGCTCTGTAATGCCACTGAGCCTAGAGCCTGTCAGCTCCTGACCTTTCTGCAAAGACTCAGCTCTCTGTGTCTCACCGAGAAGTGTGATATGCTGAGCTTATAGCTTAATTTCCGCAAGCAGGGGCTGCTGCCCTCCCCAGCACAGCTCCATCAGCACAAGTCTGTGCAGTGAGACACTGTTCTTTTGGGGCTGGTAGGTGTGAAGAGGTTTCCCCCCAGAGGTGCTGTTCAGGTCAGATGGGATCTCCAGTCCTCTGATGTTGCTTGGGTGGGATGGGAGAGGGGCTGGGCAGCCTCCCCATCACTGGAGAGAGAGGAGCGGGAGGGCGGTGGATCGTGGTGGGACCAAGGCTCCAGCTCTCTGACCCCAGGGAGATGTGTACCCACATCATGGTGGGCCCCAGGCCACTATTCGTTAGCTGTCCTCAAGCCAGCAAGTGATGGCTTCTGCCTCCCCCTGTCCCTTCTGAGTGGTGCCCAGTGCCCCTCAGTGTCTGGTGAGACTGGGAGAGGGGTGTTCATACCTTGTCTGCCACAGGGAGCTGGACGTGCTGCTGCCAGACATTGACTACGTGGAGATCCCAGTGGACTGGTGGAACGCTGAAGCTGATAAATCCCTGCTCATCGGCGTCTTCAAACACGGTGTGTAGCCAGCTGACTGGTGGGTTGGTGCGTGAGGGAACGAGTACCTCTGGTACCTGGAGGGGACATCACGTCAGTGCGAGGGGGCAGAGCCACGCACCGCAGCCACACAGGGCCAAGACAGCTCTCCCCAGGTGCCAGCAGCATGTCTTGGGTGGGGGAGATGGACAGGCACCCCACGCTGCCCAGGGTGGCCATGCCAGGCCTCATGGCAGACTCTGGTTTGCCATGAGCAGCATGCAGTTGCCACCTGAGGGTGAGGAGGAAGGCACAGAGCTTTTCCTGGCCTTGTCATGGAGTCCCCCTGCACTTTGAGGAGCCACAGGGCTGTCTGCCCCAGCTGCACCCCACACGGGTGCTGTGCACAGCTCTGTGGGCGCTGTGCTGCTGCAAGGGGTGGGATGGGAAGGCTGACCTTTCCCTTTTCTGCTGCCCAAGGAAGAGCCATTAGCAGCTTTTGGGGGAGGTGTTCAGAATTTCTGGGGTGAGAATTGCTCTCACAGCAGCATAGAGGGAGTTAAAGCCAGGTGGGGAGCTGTGTCCCTGGAGGAGGCTCAGGCCTTGCTCTGTGCTGTCTGTCCGTGTTGTGACGTGCGGCGGTCGCAGGGTACGAGCGGTACAACGCCATGCGGGCGGACCCGGCGCTGTGCTTCCTGGAGAAGGTGGGCATGCCGGACGAGAAGCTGCTCTCTGCCGAGCAGGGCGTCAGTGACGGGGCACAGGACGCTGCTGAAAGGTGGGCAGGGGATGGAGCCCAGCTCTTGTGGCTGTCTGGCTCACTCCTGGGGGCAGTGCAACGGGGTGAACTGTGCACAGGGAGGAGGGAAGGAGCAGGCTGTGCCTCTGAGCACAGAGGGGAGGCCAGTGGGGAGCTGGTCCTCAGTACCAGGTGGAGGGATGGCATGAGCAGCAATTGTTCACTTCCTGCTGCTGAGGACTGGCACAGCCATGGGGGCTGCGCTGCCGCTCCCAGGGACTGATTCACTCTCTCACCCAGGGGCAGCGTGGAAAAGGAAGAGAGCAATGGAGAAAAGCTGGAGGGGCTGCCAAAACAGGAGGTGAGTGGGATTCCCAGTGTTGAAAACACATCTGCTGCTGCCAGGCATGTCCTGCTGTGCTGCAGGCTTGGCTCCATCGACTCTGCTGGGGGGCACTGGGAGGCCAGCACAGCTCGTGCCCCTGCTCTGCACTGCCGGTGCCCCATCCCGTCTGCATTGCCTCTGCTCCCTGTGCCTCTGTGTGTTCCCTGTGGACCTGGGCAGCATCCACCTCGTGGGGAGCTGAGGGGGATTGAGGGCTGGGGACGCCCAGGGGTGCTGGCCCTTGCACTCGGCTTCAGCAGCCCTGTGAGGCCCTGTCAGAGGAGTCAGGGGCATCCCAAAATAGCCCCGGGTAGAGTAAGAACAGGGAATGAGGCAGCACAAGAGTGTACAGGGTTTGTTTGAACAGCTAAGGCTGTCACACTGCTACTGTCCTGGGCATTGGCACTACATACAGCCTGTGTCACTGTGGTGGACCTCCTCACCAGGACCCAAATGGGCAGCACTGTCCCTCTGAGCTGTCACCTCCCCTGTCCCTGCTGCTCTGATCCCGTGCACTGAACCAGCCAGCGACTGCAGCCTGAGGACACAGGACACACGACCCTCCCTGTTGCACCACCTGTACCCTGCTAAGGATGGGTGGGCTGCGGGTGTGTGGGGTTCTGTGTGGGACTGAGCCCTCTCTGATGGTTTCCTTCTGCAGGACATTGTGGCTGCTGGGGTGGGTGAAGCCAGTGAGAAGCGGGACGAGCCAGCGGCAGGTGAGGCCATGTCTCTGCAGTGCAGCACACAGCTCCCTAGGGCTTGGCATGGCAGAGCTGGAGCACTGCACCAGGCACTGGGTGGTGGGCGGGACACACTGCTGGGGTGGGGGGACACACTGCTCTGCCTGGCTGGCTGGTTAGCTCAGCCTGGAGCTACCTCTCGTACAGCTGACCCGGGGTGGGCCCTGTGGCAGTGCAGCTGGGGTGCCGAGTGTTTCCAGCCAAAGCTGCCCAAGGTGACTAGAAGCCATTAGCCTGCCCTTGTCTGTGCAGTTGCCTGCATGAGATGAGTGTACAAGGTCTCTGCAGTAGGCAGTGCTGGCACATGCCATGAGCTGGCTGGTCCCACTGCTGAGCAGGGAGCTGCAGTCCTCTCCCATGCATGGCCTGGCCCAGAGCCATCATTCCTACCCTGGTCTCTGCCTCTGGGCTCTCTGGGAAGGAAGCTAAGACATGGTGAGGCTGTGAGCCAACAGGCCTGGGGACAGTCACCGTGGTCCCCCACTCCTGGCTGTGATCCCTGATGCACCCCACGGGAGGGAGAAGGTGGGAGGAAGCTCTTGGAGCTTGTCGCAGGGACGTGGGAACCTGTGGCTTTGCATGTGCACTAAATACTAATGTCCTTGCTGATGTTTGAAGCCCAGGATGGCTCTGACTCAGACAGATCCTGCTGGCCTGTCTCCTCTGCTCTCACGGCCAGACTGCGGCGACTCGTCACCGTCTACCAGCGCTGCAACCGCAAGGAGCTGCCTTCCCGTGCTGAGATGCTGGTGCCTGGTAACCATGGCTACTGGCTGCAGGACGAGATGTTCCGGAGAGCCTCTGAGATGGACTCGGTGAACAAAGAAATGCAGAAAAGGTAATGCAACAGAGAGGCCTTTCCAAAGCTGATTTATCCCTCTTGAATTTCTTGCCCCCCTGGTAACTGACCCAGGTAAATGTCGTCACAGCTGTCTGTGCAGCTGACTGCCCAGGGAATGGAGTCACGGGGGTCCTTGCTGGGCAGGGAATGCTGCTTCCAGCTGCAGGAGCCTTGCTGCTCCAGCAGCCAGCCCAGCTCTGGAAAAGCCTCCAGTGCAAACTAGAGTTTGCAGGTAGCAGATGGTGACACTGAAAGGAAGTGAGGGGACAGCTCTTCAGGTTCAAATCCAGTGTCTGCCGGGACAGGGTCAGCCCCAGCAGAGTGGGTGCTGCTGAGCAGAGTTGTGCCCTTGGGACACACCATGGGAGAGGGTGACAGATGAGCACTGTCACAGCCTGTGAACAATGCCTTTCTGACCCTTGTGGCTCTCATGCTGCTGCCTTTGCCTCCTGCTCGTGGCCTCAGGAGCCCTGTGGTGACATGTCCTGGTTGCGCTGTGCTCCCACTTCATTTGTGTCCCAGTAAGTGGAAGGGTGGTGAGACTGTGGTGGGACCGATCTGCAGAAACTGCAGGGTGTGTGCAGGGTGGTGCTGCTGCCATTGCTGCCGGGCTCCAGTGCAGCCCTGGGACTGGGGCTCTCTGGTCACCAGCCCTCAATAGCTTTGTCTCCTGTGAACCTGTGCCCGCAGCAGGACTGCAGGGTATCTGTGCTGCCCTGTGCTCTGTTCATGGCCTCCTTGTATGGAAGCTGTTCCCATTCCTCTGTCTCTGGACTTCTTCCAGTCGTACCACCCCCATTTTGATGTGGGGGCATCAATGGTTGTGCTGTGGACACCACAGCAGCCTGGTACCTCCTGCTCTTTAATTCTCTGGACTTCTTGTAAAGACCTCCCTGTAAGAAGAGAGGTCTTCTTACAGGAGTTTCCCACCAGTCTTTAATTTGAGGCCTTTGAACGAACTCACCATTGGGCTCCTTGATTTGGATCATTAATGTATTTATTAACTTTAATCATGTTATTCTCATTTTTGAAATGAAACATGACTGCAGAGGGCTCCTAGCCCCTGGGAACAGGGGTGGAAATGCTGGTCCAGGTATATTTTGGGCAGGTGTGAGTGCTGTCACCCTGTCTGCTCTCCCTTGACATGCCCTACCTGCTTGCTGGTGCTGGCTCAGAGCTGCAATTCAGAGAAGCTGAGATTGGACTTGAAGCTTTCTTCAGCCCTCAGCGCTCCCTTTTCTCTGCCCTTGCCCTGCCATGTGCACCCAGGTCTGTTCTCTGTGGCTCTTTGTCTGTGCTCTGTTTGCCCGGGGCTGTATTTGCCCAGGACAGTCTTCACTATCTGTCCTGGATTGTTCCTTTGAGTGATCCCCACGAGGTGAAAGCTCAGAGGATCCAAGCCAGTTGTGCTCTAACAGTGCTGTAACTGAACCCCCTCTATCACCACAACTGCTTTCCTTCAGTGGGGAGGGGGTGACACCCACCCCTGGCACCCAGGAGTCCACAGGAGTCAGCAGGGCAGATGGTGTTTGTTACTGGAACTCTTAACAGCAGCAAGCCCCAGTCCCAGTTTGCTTCTGGAGGAGGCTGGATGAGAGCTGTGTCTGCAGATCCTAATGGCTGCTACAGAGAACTGGCCTTTCCATGGGGGTGATGAAACAGCTTGACATGGCAGGAAGCGAGTAGGTGGGCAAGGTTTGTGCCTCCACTGAAGCTGCTGGAGCCTGTATCCTGTTGGCAGCACAGCCCAGAGCTGCACTTGGGTTTATTGAAACAGCCAAGAGGATTTTTTTCATCTGTGAATCAAGAGCCAGAGGGTTCATGGCCTCTGCTCCTCTTCCCTGTGCACCATTGGGCAGAGGATCTCAGGTTGTGGTGATCTCCCTGACAGCTCCCCCCACAACTGGTGGTTGGTAACTAGATAGTGCCTTTGAGCCTCTGCCTGGTGCCTTGCCTGTGCTGGGCCCAGAACGTGTCTCAGTGGTGTTCCTGTCTCCTCCCTGCCCCACAGGTGGACCAGGAGGGAGCAGGCAGATTTCTACCGCACTGTCTCCTCCTTTGGGGTTATCTATGACCAGGAGAAAAAGATCTTTGACTGGTCCCAGTTCCGAGCCATCTCTCGGCTGGAGAAGAAGACGGATGAGAGCCTGGAGAAGTACTTCTACAGCTTCGTGGCCATGTGCAAGAATGTCTGTGGTCTCCCTCTGTGGAAAGAGGATGGTGAGTGGAAATTGCACAGCTTATGGAGTGCTAATGGTAGGTCCGTGTAGAACTGATCCCACTGCTCTTGTGGAGCAGTAGAGCAAGAGAGGAGTTTCAGGGACAGTTGGAAGCACTGAGATGCCAGGCAGGCCATGGGCTTGCATCAAGTCATGCATTTCTGGCTGCCTTGTCCCTGCCAGATACTGCCTCCCCAGCACAGTGGGAGGGTAGAACAGCCCTGTGGGCTCCAGCCCCTGCTCTCACGGATCTCTTGGAGCTCTTGCATAAAATCACAACCAGTTCTATCCAAGACAGTAACCTCTGCATGTGAGAGACAAGTAGAGAAGCAGCACACACAGCAGCACATCTCCATGCTAGAGCTGGGGGTTATTTGGGTGAGCTGCATTGCTGCTTTCTCTCTGAGCATCTCTCCAGTGGCACTGGACAAAGTCCATTCCATGCCCATGCTGCCTGTGGAGCTCTGCTGCAGGGTAAAGGGAGCCTGAACCCACTGCAGCCCGGCCAACACACATCCATTTTCCTCGAGTGCTCTGCAGAGACCCTGCATTGGCACTGAGCAGGACACAGCAGATGAAAAGCTGCTTCAGGGCTATTTAAACACAAAGTGATTTGCTTCCAGCAGCAGCAGAAAACGTTTTGCCTCAGACCTGTCGAGGGGTCTGGTCTCAGGTGCAGTTCCTTGCATGTGTCTGTTAGTGCCTTGGGTAGGTGTTCCTCATCAGAAGAGCTGCACGAGCTGCCCTTCCCTGAGAACAGGCTAAAGGGCTACCAGAGGCTCAAGACCCCTGGGTGCTGCTCCACTAGCAGGTCCAGGCAGCTCCAGCACCGCTGATGCTGATGGAGCAGAGCTCAGACAAGACTCTGAAATCCTCTGCAGTTGGTGTCACTCTTGATCCAGCTGCTGAAGTCACAGGGTTTTACTCCCATGTGTCCATTTGGTGAGATATGACTGGAAGATGGTGAGACTAGAAAAAGACAGTGGCTACGAGCACTGGCCACACCTCACCTGCAGTCTGAGCACCTTGCTCATCACTGCCTCTGAGGAGCTCTCACCAACCAGTGTAATGTGGCCTTGGCTTTGGTGTCCCTGCTGTAGGTCCTCCGGACCCCGACATCTACGTGGAGCCCATCACGGAGGAACGTGCTGCCCGGACCCTCTACCGCATCGAGCTGCTGCGGAAGGTGCGTGAGCAGGTGCTCAAGTGCCCCCAGCTCCACGAGCGGCTCAAGCTGTGCCGGCCGAGCCTCTACCTGCCGGTGTGGTGGGAGTGTGGCAAACACGACCGGGACCTGCTGATCGGCACCGCCAAGCACGGCCTGAACCGCACCGACTACTACATCATGAATGACCCCCAGCTGTCTTTTTTAGATGCATACAGGAACTATGCCCAGCATAAAAGAACAGGGCTCCCAGGCCCAGAAACCCTGTGCTGCCTTTACCAGACTAATTCCAAACTCTACAGTTCCCCTCTGTACAGCCAGGTGGACCGGACCTGTGAAACCCTGGAGAATGAAGCTGAGAGTCAGATCAAGCTGGAAGCTGTGGACAGCACCATGTCCCAGGCTGGAGGCAGCACACCAGATGCAAACTGTGAAACGTTCATGTCTGAAGTCCGGGACATCATTTCCAGTAACTACGACGAGAGCTCGCTGCCGGAGTCGTTGGTGTGCATGATGTACGACGAGAAGGGCTGTCACAGCGAGCAGAGCTCCCTCGCCAGAGACAGCCCAAGCTGCACAGAGGTCGGAAGCAGCGTTGCCAAACTCTCCGAGGGCAAGCTGGAGGGGGATGAGGATCCATCCAGCTGCGATGCAGACGCCATGAGAGAGGTTCCCTTCCTCAAGGGTTTGCAGGTGGGCTCTGACCGAATGGACAGTCAGAACGAGGAAGCTGAGCCTTCACCTTCCACCCCTGAGAGCAACCCTTCGCAGAGCGTCCCGGCCGAGCTCGGCAAAGCCTTGGAGCAGAAGGGAGCCCTCACCAGCCCGGCGACAGGGCTGCCTGAGCATGGCACTGTGGAAAGGGTCCTGAGCATGGGGCTCTACGGTCCCAGTCTCCATAACTATGAACTAAAGGTTCCTCCTGAGCAGAGGTTCATCAGTCTGCTGCAGGAAAAAGGAATGGAGGCGAAGTCGGGGCCAAGTCAGAGCCACAGCGAGGAAGATGAGGAGGAAGAAGAGGATGATGATAACTCTGAGGCAGCAGCAGATGCTGTGGATGGCTTGAGTGGTCCCAGGACCAGGGCCAATTGTGACCCCGAGGCTAATGAACTGGGGGGTGAGGAGCAGAGCTCTGGCCTCCCCACACCCGAGGACACTTGCCCAGAAGACGTGAGTGGCGAGAAGGAGCCCCTGGGACTGGGGGAGCCTGGGCCAGAAGGCAGGGAGGACCGTGGCTTGGATGTGGAGAGCACTGGGCAGCACTCACCAGGCCAGGCTCAGAGCCAGCCCTTCAGCCTGCCCACACCTCTGCTGGGGGCCTCAGGTACAGAGCCTCCCCATGCTGGGGGGGACGCCTGGGGCCGAGGGGCTGAGGGGCAGGCAGGCTGCACGGAGGCCCTGCACCCCGAGCCCCAGCGTGTGAAGCAAGAAGAGTGTGAGAACAGAGATGACGGGGAGAAAGCCAGCAGCAGCCAGAGCCGAGGTACGGTCCTGAGAGCTCCCTCAGGTTGATAAGTCACGTCTGGCTGGGGTGGGAAGGACCTACTGTCCTCTCTGCAGAGCCAAACCTTGGGGCTGCCCAGCCCCTGGAGTGGCCTCCCATCTGCAGGAGCTGGGGTCCCTGTAGCTGCTCTCACTAGGGGGAAAAAAGGGTTGGGGGTTGCATTTGCCAGCAGGGCTGGCCAGAACTCTCCACCCAGCAGCCCTTCTGCCATGAGCATGCCATGGAATGCAGGACTCCTTTCCCTTCCTGCCCCAGGGTGAGCAGCTCCTTTTGGAAGGGCATGTGCCCTCCCCTTCACCCACCTGGGTATGGGGATGGTCAGGGATGGGGATTACTGCAGTACAAGCCCAGCAGTCTCAGCCCAGAAGAGTCATGTCCCTTCCTGAGCAGCTTGGGCCATCTGCCCTGACCCTGCTGCTTCTCTTGGTGACTGTTTGGGGAGTGGGACCTTAGTGGAGCCAGCTGGGCATTGGGGTGGGAAGGTGTGAGGAGATGCTCCTACCTCGAGAGGGAGAGAAAGGTAGGGTGGTGATGGGCTCTGTTCTCCTTCATTTTCTTAGATGGTCCAGAGAAGTACTTAGAGGAGGAGAACAAGAGTTCTGCTTCTGTCCTGCCTGGGGAAATCGATGACCTTCAGGATGCCCGGGCACCGACCATTGCCCAGCTGCTGCAGGAGAAGACGCTTTACTCCTTCTCTGAGTGGCCTAAGGTGAGGTTAAAATGAACACTGTTTGTATTGAAGTGTCCTGTGTAATCCTGACCAGCAGTGGCTCACACAGCCCCAGCTCTGCCTCCTGCTCCTCTGCACACGGCTCCCCACGGATGCTCTGACTGAGGTGCTCTTCCCAAGCGCGGGTGCCATGGAGATGCTTCCCACCAAAGCAGTTTCCTGCTGAGGTGTGATCACCTGGGCTGGACTTGGCTTTAATCCTGAGCTGACATACATTGGTCAGTCATTCCAGTCTCAGCTTGCCACTGTCCAATTCTGTTTCCAGGACCGTGTGATCATCAACCGCATTGACAACATCTGCCACGCCATCCTAAAGGGCAAGTGGCCTTCCTCCAGCCAGCAGTTTGAGGCACAGAGCCTGCTGACAGCCCCAGCCGTGGCCAGCAACGCCGGCAGCAGGAGCAGCTTCGCTGAGTCAGAAGCCCCTGATCCCAGCTTCAATAACGGGGTGTTACTCTCACAGGTACAAAAGGTGAGGGGGCCCCTCGGGCAGTGACAGGCTCGGGACTCTGGTGTGAGACATTGCCCAGAACTGCTCAGGAGTTTCCCAAGTGGGGCCTCTTGGTGCCACTTGCAGTGTATAACACGTGGCTTAAGCCACTTGGTCCCCTCTCCTGGGTACTCCTGGTGAGCTCCCTGTGCTCTCAGCCCCCCTGCTCCTCTCCTGGGAAGGCAGCTGTTCTCACCAGTTCTACAGCCTCTGCGGCCCTAGAGCTTCCAGAGTCAACGCTGGAGCTCCCGACACAGTCAGAGGGAAAAGGGGACACTGCCCTGGTATCCCAAAGGAAAGGGTGCAGGAGAAGGCACTGCCCCATCAAGTCCCCAGCTCCCAAGTCCCAGTGTCCCGGTCCCCAGTGGTCACACTGGACAGAGACAGAAGCTCTGTCTGGGCCACCAGCCTGGCCACCCCACATCTGGCAGAGCAGCCGGGGCCGTAGCACCTTGGGAGATCAGAGTGCTCCTGCACCATCCCCACACAGGGAAAGAGGTGTCATTTGCCCGTGGAGAGGCAGAAGAGCGTGACCATTAGCTCAGTGCTGGTGTGAAGAGCTGTGGTCCCTGGGCGGGGTGGGAGCAGCCATAACCCTCTCTGTGGCTTTGGTACACACAGGAAGGTTTCCTGACCCCTGCCTTCACAAAAGACGAGCGGAAACACAGGAGACCATATGAATTTGAGATGGAGAGAGATGCCAAACAGAGGAGCCTGGAGCAGCTGGCAGCAGCCCACGTCCATTCACCCATTGTGCTGAACGGCTGGCGCGAGGCAGCGGTGGACTTGTCCAGAGCCTCTGATGGGTCCCCAGGGAACTCTTCTCCTTTCCCCCTGAACACAAACATGCCCAAATTGGGGACTGTGAATGCCCTCCAGGGCTCCCTGGGCATGGACTTGTCTGGCATCCTACAGGCAGGGTTAATCCATCCTGTCACGGGACAGATTGTAAATGGCAGCCTGCGAAGAGATGATGCTGCCATGAGGAGGAGACGGGGCAGGAGGAAAAATGTCGAAGGGATGGACCTCATCTTCTTGAAGGAGAGGCCTCTTCCAAACAGGCTGCAGGTGGGTTGATGCTCCCTCCTTTCACGTGCACCCAGTGGGGTCAGCACGGTTTGTCTCATGGCCCAGCTCTCCCCTCCATACTCTGCTGCCCGTGACACTGCAGGACCTCCTCCAGAACAGCTTGGCTTGTGCAGGCACAGATATTACTCCAGGGAGGAAGGGAAGTTTTCCCTCTGGCTTGCAGTGCTCTGGAGTGTTTGAGTCCTACTAAGCATTATCAAAAGCTGCTGTCCCACCTCAGGGGGTGTTTAGGGTTAGAGAACATGAGGAAAGATCCTTGACTTTGTTAGAGCTGTGGCCAAGAGCCTACTGCACCTATTCTTCTTCTACCCTGGGATCCACTCAAAGAAAAATGGAGCTTTGAGAGGAAGGTCAGTCCCTCTAGACCAGTTTTAGGAGTGATCTGGGGGGAAGTTGGTCTTTCTGGTGATTAGGGTGTTTCCAGGTGAGTTCAGAAGCATCTCCCAGCTCTCTCTGCACTCCCTGCCACCACTGCTGGGGATGGACTGGAAATGTAATGTGGTCGTGCGTGGTATTTTAAGGAACAGGCACTCGGAACATGTGGATTAATCTCTGTGATGGGAGTAGATGACCTGATTTGGGAGCTCTGCTTCTTGGAGTGTGCATGCATCACCACGTGCTGCTGATGGCTCTCCCTGCTCCTCCCTCCATGGCAGGATGTTCAGGAAGACCAGCCACAGCCCCCTCAGAACAGTCCTCTCCCTGATGGGCCGGTTGCTGCTACCTCGACTCCACAGCCAGTCCCAGCTGCAGGCGGCCAAGAGAAGGCTGTCCCCAGTAAGAGTCTCCTCGACTGGCTCCGGCAGCAGTCTGACTACACACTCGATGTTCCTGGCTTTGGCACAGTAAGGGTGGCCTCCAGTGGCACGTGTGTGTGTGTGTGTGTGTCTGCTTTGTGTGTTGCCCTTTGTGTTAGGGCTTTTCCTGTAACATGGCATGTGGTGTTCATCAGAGCTGTTTGGGAGGTTCATCACACATTTGGGAGGTGGGCACAGTTCCCTGTAGAGCAGCAAAATGTGCTTGCTGCTGGGGAACTCCTCTACTCCTCTCCTTTCCCCCTGGACACAAATGTGCCCAAACTGGGGACTGTGAATGCCCTCCAGGGCTCCCTGGGCATGGACTTATCTGGCATCCTCCAAGACCTGCATCCCAATGCCCAAGGTCAGTCGGTTCTCCAGCTGCAGTGCCCAGTGCATAATGTCTTCCTGAAGTGCCAGGGTTGGGAACAGAAATAAGAAAAGGGACTTGGGATGCTCAAGGCTTGTCTGTGTTGCTCTTTTTCACCAGGGCTTATTTTAGGCGGTGCTGTTGTATTAAATAAGGTTCTCAGGCAAGACAAAACCTCCTGGCTTGAAAAGCCAGACCTAAGTGGCTGTGTTGGAGGCTGAAAGGCTGCAGCTGTGTGGCCATGGGTGCTGTCAGAAAGCAGTGGCACAAAGTAGGGTATACAGTCTCTATCATTCTTCCTGCTGTCTCATAAACCTCCACCTCTTGGTTGGTTTGCTCCAGGTTTCAGCTTATTTAGCCTGTTAGACCATGTGACAGGCAGAGCACAGGCTGTGAAACAGAGTAGAAAGAAATGTGGTGGTAATACAGAAAAGACTCTTCATCTTGGTCCTGGAGTATCGGGTGCCTGAGGCGAGGATTCCCTGGAGCTTGGACTACAGGCAAGCCATTAGCATTTTGGAGAGTTAGAGATGAGAGGTGAGGAGCCCAGCTTTTTCTTGGCAGGATGGTCCTTGCGTTTCAAAGTCCAGAGACACATCCAGCTGTGTGCCCAGGGCAGACCCTCAGGAGCAGTCAGATGGTGGAGCAAGTGCCAAGGTGCCTTCCCGCTCCTTCCCAACACCCTTGCCTTCCAGGGGGGTACTGGAGCTTGGCCAGTCTGACCGTGCTGCTGGTGAAGCTGTTGCTCCCAGCAAGCCCCCAGTGCCCCGGGCTAGCCGTGCAGAATCACCCTGTTGGGGCGGGTGTCCTCTCTCCAGGTAGGATGGATTGAAAGAGGCTTTGGGGTACTGCAGCAGCTCAGCTTGAAGGACAAACCACACTCAGGGTCTTTCCTCTGACTCTCAGGAATCTGAGCCAGCAGTAGTTCCTTATATGCTCCATCCCTGCAGGCACATGGCCAGCAGGGCTTGGTGCATGCAATGGGTGTCCAGTGACTCGGCTGTAGCTCAGTAGGTTGCAGTTACAAAGGGCTCTGATCCCAAGGAAACACAGCGCAGCATCTCTGTGGTGGGAACAGCTGAATCAGGAATGAAACACAGCACAGCTGAGCTGGCAAAAGCAGGTGACTGTGTCAGAGCGACACAAATGGCACAAACAGACCTGTTCTCTCTTTCCTGGCTGTAGGCAGTGTCCCATTTACAGAAGCACATAGAGGAACCTGCAACAGACTGCAGCTTCAGGAGTGGAGGGGAGCTAGAAAGGGCTGGAGCAGTCTGAATGGGGTGCGCTGGAGACCCCTTTATACCTACAAAAATCAGTTGTGCTCACTTGAGAGCTGGTGCTGTGGCAGGGACCAGTTTGTGCTGCTGGCGCTGCTGTTGCCCCAGTCTGCAGGGCCCCTCTGTCCCTCATGAGTTCATCCATGCCTCTCTCCTGCAGGGCTTGTAACCAGCCAGGCTCATTAAGCCATCTAGTCTCATTAACGTTGTCTTGTTTGCACTCCAGAATTTTTCAGACAAGCCCAAGCAGAGGAGGCAGCGCTGCAAGGACCCCAGCAAATTGGACATTAGCTCACTGACGGGAGAGGAGCGGGTGCCGGTGGTACATAAGGGTACCGGACGGCGGGTAAGCCACTCTGCCCTCAGTGCCCACACATGCTTGGCAGACCCTGAGCTCACCCAGGGGTGTGGTGGAGATTTAATCTAGAGAAGCTTATGGATGGGACAAAGGTCTGGAATACTTCTCTGATCTACACTGTCCTGTGACACCTGTGCCCAAGGGGATGCAGACCTGTGACATAAGTGACTGGGTGAAGTAAGGAATGTGGGAGTGTTGACCCTTGCCAGGGGGCACAGACCCCTCTATGGCAAAGGAATACAGCCTTTGGCTTTAAAGCTACCCTTAACACAGCCCTGGCTGGTGTTTCCCATCCTGGATTTGATTGTTCCTTGAGTTCACTGCAATATGCCACAAGCTGCCATGCAAATATCTTTGGTTTGTTCCTCCTTACGAGGTGCAGGCCAGAGCACACCAATACCCATCCCACTGCTCCACATGTGGGAAGTGGAGGGTTGGAAGGGCTTTTTCTTGCTTTGTGAGCAAGGAGCTTGGATTTATTTGTCTGCAGTTTAATCTCCAGGGCACTGATGTTCGCTTCTCTGAATGAGAAGGGATGTCCAGGAGTACTTTCCCCCCAAATTCAGTTCTTAAACACATACAGAACTGCAACAGGTCAGAAGGTGACTTGGCATTAATCCCATCTAAAACCAAAACTAAAGAGTGAGGCAGAAAGAGGCTGTTTCAGCCACATCCGTGTTCCCCTCTGGGCCCCCACGCTGGCCACTGGAGACCTGAGTGAGCTGGGGGAGGTTGTCAGTTCTGAGCATGGCTTTTACAGCTCTGTCCCCATCAGAGGGCAATGGGCCAGGCCACAGAGGCTGAACCTGCCTTTTCTCCCTGGGCTGTGTGTCTGGAGGCAGCAGGCACACACCAAGCCCTACAAAGATGTGCAGCAACGAAAACAGTCTCTGCCCCAGCTGAATCGCAGCCCAAAGCAAGGACCTAGGGGAAGTGTAATCGTATTTTTTGTATTATTTTACATAACTCTCTCTGCAATAGAGGTCATCCTTCTGCTGTGTTTTATAGTTAGGGGGAGCCACAGCACCAGCATTGAAGGAATTGCCAAGGTGGCTTGATGCAAACTTGGAGTATGCTGTTGCAGCTGACTGGGCTGACATTGTTAAGCTTTCAGTAAGTTAGAGCTTTTGGAGAAATCTGTATCATGTCATCTTTTCTTTCCCCTCCCCATCCCCACAACCTTTCTCCAGTGAGGATCCAAGGCAGGCCCTCGGCTGCGGGTGTGGGAGGGGACAGTGGCAGGGTCGGCAGGGCCGGGGGCACCGGGGCACAGAGGGAGGGGGGGTGTGTGGCCAGGGCAAGGAGAGAGGGGGGCCAGCATCCTGGGAGAGGGGCTCAGTAGCCCAGGGTGGCTGCTCAGGGTGGCTTTCTGGAAAGCCTCAGGATGCTTAGGAATAGCAGGGGCAAGAGGAACTGCCCTAGGAGCAGCAATCCACCGCAGGTGCTGGACGCAGGGTGTGGACAAAACACATTCTCATGGGTCAAATTTTCAGAAGTACCTTTAGATGACGCTTTTTGTCAGCTCCTGCAAACTCTACCTGCGCAGCTGTGGGCCCATCAAAGGCCCTGCAGGTCACCAGGCCTGGAGGGTCAGGCACAGGCAGGGAGAGGGGCAGGACGGAGCCTCGCCATGCCACGATCATCCTCCCTGTTCATCACACCCGTCCCTGCCCCAGAGCGTGGCAGAGCCTGTGCAGGAGTGCTCTCCCCTCCGGCACACGGGCACTGTCAGATCACCTTGCCACGCCCTACAAACTGGCCTGATCCAGACTTCTCCCTACAGTCCCTCTTGCCTGCTGCCTGTTTTTGGGGCTGCAGTGGTTTGTGTGACACCCTTGCAGGGGGCTGGAGGGGGAATCAATTGGCTTAGAGGTTTTTACTGCTCTCAAATTGGCTTTTAATTAGTGCTGGAGATTTGGCATGGTGTGTCCCACTGCCCAGGAAACAGCTCCACATCCAGGCTGGCATCAGGGCCCCATCCGGGTGGCCAGCCCTGGGCAAGCTGACAGCGCTTCCTTCCCTTGGTTTGAGGGGACAGTCTCTTTGCTGCAGGAGCCGCCGTGTGCCTGGCACTGCCCGGGCACCTCTCATGTGCCCTGCTCTGGCAGCTGCATCACAAGAACATTCCCCCCCTGAGCCCCATCCACACGGAGCTCTTGGCGAGTGCACCTCTGTCCTGATGCGGGGCAGGGACAGCGGCTGCTGCAGGCGCTCCGGCCAGCGGTGCTGCCCCACAGAGCCCAGGGCAGTCATGGCCCTCTGTGGGCTCTCCCACATGGCAGTGGGAGGTAATCCCAGAAGGTTCTCCCTCCTTGGGCGGGAGCTGTGCTGAGCAGATTGCCAGGGGCATCTGATTCATGTTTCTGCACTGCAGGTGTCACCAGAAAATACTTTTCCTGCCTAAATCTGTTACTGGAAATGGTTCAGAGTGGTGCTATCGAAACTCAAGGGAGCCACGAAGGGAAATGTTTAAATGTCTGTGTTGAGGATGCTGAAGAAGGGAGTTCTGAGCTGGGCTGTGGATCCCCCCACACTGCTCTGTGTAACCACGCGCTCTTGCCCAGTTCTGGCTGCTGGGTTTTGGTCCCATGTCTGAATGCTCAGAGCTTTCTGAATGCTTCCTGGCATCTCAGTAAAGCTCTGACCAGGAGCTCTTCAGACAGCATGTCCACTCTCTGTGTGTCATCCCATGAGCTTTGCTGTTCTGCAGAGCATTGAAAATTTGGCCCTTCACCTCTCAAAGATGTGACTTTTTCACCTGTTGCTGAAGGCACAATTAGAGCTGGGCCGGGAGCTGAGTAGGCAGCTGACACCACACTGCCCTGGTGCTTCTCGCGCAGTGAACAGCTGGTGCTGAGGGCTGGGGTGAATATGGGGTAGAAACATGCTTCCTCCTCCCCTCCCTGAGCATTTTGACACTGCAGGATCCTGCTAGGGCAGAGCAAGGGTGTTTTGCATTTGGCAGCATCCATTGGGGAAAAGTCGTGTGTACCTCTCAAATTCCATATCATGTAGGCAAATATTTCTGTGCCGACACCATCTGGGACGCAGATGCAAGCACAGACAAGGCAGATCCCCTTTGCTGCAGTAGTAACTGTCGGGTGTTCTCTGTTATGTGTCTTTCATTTCCAGGGCTACTTACCCGAAAACAAATTCAATCGCGTCCTCAGCGAGCCCGTGCTCCGGGACACGGGGCCGCGCCGGAGAGGGAGGAGGCCCCGAAGCGAACTCCTTAAAGGCCCCGGTGTTGTAGCAGATTCTTCTTCTGGAATGGGACCATTGTTCATGAACGGACTCATTGCTGGGATGGATCTAGTGGGACTTCAGAACATGAGAAACATGCAGGGGATCCCTCTGACCGGGCTGGTCGGGTTTCCTGCTGGCTTTGCAGCAGTGCCCGCTGGGGAGGATGTGAAGAGCACCCTGAGTATGTTGCCCATGATGCTGCCAGGCATGGCTACTGTACCCCAGATGTTTGGCGTTGGAGGACTTCTCAATTCCCCCATGACAACGACTTGTACTGCGACTGCTCCGACTTCGTTAACAAGCACAACGAAAGGTGGCACAGCCAGCGCCGAGAAAGCCAACGAGGAGAAACAGGGCAGCCAGGATGGGAAAAAAGAACCTCTCGCCGAAGACAAGCCCGGTCCTAGTTCGTTTTCTAATCAGACAGAATCCGCAATAACTACCAGTAGTCCTGTAGCTTTTAACCCATTTCTTATCCCAGGGATGTCTCCTGGACTGATCTATCCCTCCATGTTCCTCTCCCCCGGCATCGGCATGGCGCTGCCTGGCATCCAGCAAACCAGGCACTCGGAGGCGGCGAACCTGGAGAGCCAGAAGCGGAAGAGGAAGAAAGCAAAAGGGGAATCGGCAAATCCAGAGCCAGAAACTGTCTCACTGCCGGAAAAAGAAGCTGCAAACAGTCAAAACTGTGTGGAGCAGAGCCCGCCGGCGGCGGCAGAGAAGGAGCAGGATGGACCAGCAGAGGAGGAGCGCCAGGCGACTCACGATACCGATTAGAACTTTTGTTTCATTGGAAAAAAAAAAACACAAAAAGATTGTGGCTTGTGAGTTTCTTATCCCATAAACTCTTTGTTACTTCCCCTCCCACCCTGCTCCACCTTCATAAACCTGTGTTTCCATGAGTAATATTATCTACCTAATTTCCTGTCAGAAAAAACTCTGGTGACATACTACATGTTAATAGTTGCAGGGTCTTGCCACTTTATTAGATAAACAGTGTTGTCTAGCTAGTATGGGAGGCACCGAATTCTCGTTCTGTTTTTTCCAGTCGTTCATCCCAGCCGACGATAGCAAATCCAGTACTCGGTCACCCCCCCCAAATTGCTCACTCCTTTGAGAAGAAAAAGCAGCAAAAAAAAACAAGAGCAAAAGAAAAGTCTTTACCTCTTGGTCTACATGCAGACAAGGGTATTTCTGTCTACAGCGACACTGAACGAAAAAGCCTGTATTTGGGCTAAAAGCACAGCTATAGTAAGTGCTAATGTGTATTTTTGATTTAAAGTATTTCCCTATTTTATCATGGTTACTAGAATAGTAGTATAGACAGAAGTATATAACTAATGATTGAAAATGCATATATTCATTTCTTTGAAAGGAAAAGCATAACTAGTAGTGATATAATTTCTTGATCACCCCCACCTCAAAGGTTTGGAGACAAACTGCAGAGAGTGAAAAGACGATGTAGACATTCTTTTGTATTTTTTAAAACCAAAGTTTGGTTTTATGTTACGTGGAGTTTAGTTGCCCTTTCTTTGTTAGTTACAAGAACTTTTCAGCTTGAGCTGGAAAGGTTTTGCACACTTGCATGACTTTTCTGGGGTTACTGTACCTGTAGCTACCAGTTCCTTTGTCATTCTGCTAGTCTTCAGTTCTCCTCTCTGGCGTTAGTTCTCAGCTATGGCATTACAGGTGCTCTAAAGGTATTTTTTCCAGCCGTGAACAGGCCACACCAATTTTAATGCTCTTATATGAACACTGAGGCTTTTTGAGTTTTTATATTCCTCACTCCTTACCCCAGAAGTGATGTCCTTTCAGCAAACACAGAGAAGGCTGTAGGCCAGCTTCTCTCTTTGGGGAGTCCTCTGAGAAGGAGCCTTGAGACTTTTTAGAGCTTGAGTTTCTTCCTTTCTAGCATTGGACTGTGAAGAGATGACTTGGCTTCTTCCCATTCCGTTTGCTGTTGAACAGTATTTCCAAACCCCCAAAGGATTTCAGTGTCTGCATTTCAAACAGACGGGTTTTAATGCCGCCAGCCCCCCCGCCCCCAGCTCTGGGTACTGAGACTCCTCCACAGGCAACTCTTCTGATTTCTCCTTCCCTCACTCCTCCTTTAATTCTTCTTTTCACTTGGGGTTGTGTTTATTTGCAGCTCATGGTCTGAGACTTGAATAAAGCTGCAGTGGTGCAGCAGTGAGCGAAGGGCAGGCTGGGAGGGAGTTGGAGCGTGTGCTACTCATCGGTTTCACACTTGGTTGTCACAATTTACTGTATTTTTTACTTTTTTTTCTGTTGCAGTTTTGCTAATTTATCAGATGGTCCAAATGTTTTGACATAACTATTTCAGTTTGCATTATTTATTTATGATGCTTTTTGTCATTGTCTTTTATACATTTGCAATTATAAATTATGTACATGTTAAAATTAGCATCTCAAAGAAGTCTGTTACCCATGGTCAAAAAAAGCAGTTGGTTTATATTTTCACGGAATTTATTCCCAGTTTACTGGATTGGACGATTTTTTTTAAAGTATGTAACCAATCATAATGCAACCCCCCTGGATAATTAAATGTGTTCTATTTAATAACAGTCTTGTAGCATAGATACTGTATCACTATTGACAGATTTCTTAGAAATGCTGCTATCTCTATTTAACTAACATTTTGTTCAGTTTTTGCCTCCAGTGGAAGCAGAAAGGGTTTTTTCAGCTGTTAAATCCAAAATCAATATAATTTATTTATGTAAAAAAAAAGTCACGATTGATATATTTTTGAACCTTTTAAGTACTAACTTTGTTTTTATTCAGTGGAAGAACATGTACTTGCCCTAAATCCTTAAAATACAAATGCTATAAAACTTCATATATCCTCAAAGCCTTACTGTGAATGGATATAGAAATCTCTTCCGAGTTCATTTCTTGTTAAGGGATGGTTTTTCCAGGGTTACACGCGTAAGGAACAGGGTTTAAAGTGAAATTTATTTAATTAGCCAGCATGCTCTATACCTTGTTCTTTCTTAGCAGACATGTATGCTATGTCTCTGGGTGTTTAGGCTTCTCTTTGCTACTTTGTGACCCTTTTGCAACCCGGTATACTCTGTGGATTATTTAGACTGTAAGGCGTAAGTGGCTGCTTCTTCTTTTCCATCATATCCCAAACGAACGCCAAATTTTCACCGGTTTTCATGGCTACTCACACACATACATCCTTCACCAAATGTGCTAACAAAATAAACTGTCTGTGCTCTTGAACATGGATAAAAAGAAAAAGATTTAAAAGTCAGATTTTTATTTTTTTAATTTAGTGACTAGATGATGCTTATCTTTCAGACTTGGCAGAGCCTTGCTACAGATGTATATAATTTTTTTCAGCAAATATATGTGAATGTTTAATTCACCTGACTCAGTGATAAACGTGACTTGCCTTTTTCTCAGCATGAATCCGTTGAGAAGCTGTCGAACCCAGTGCCCTGCTCCCTGCTTTAGGGTTGCTCTTCGTGCTCTGTGCGTTACTCCGGGGAAGGGCTGCTCCAAGTGGGCACATCAGCTTTTCCTGCCTGGGCTACACCCCGGCTCTCACACAGTGCCCTGGGGGTTAACTGACTGTGCTGTGGGAGTTAACTTGCTGTCCTGCAAGATCCCAGGAGCAGATTGAGTTCCAGGGCCAGTTTAAACACAGAGGATATACAGGGGCTGACCTGCTCTATCCAGAGGCTGGGTGGAAGCCCAGAGACTTCCACAGTCCTCACACACCCCCACACACCCCTGCCCCAAGCAGTTCCTGCCTGGTTTTTATCTGATGGGACACAGAGATGTCTCATGACACATTTAGACAGGGTCTCCAATTCCCTTTATGTTCACAAAAAAGGGGGAAGAATTTCCCTCAGCACTGACTTGTGGATGGGGGAGCTTTACCTCCCCAAGTGCAGACTGGTCTCTTCACAGTTACAAGAAAGGATTTGGGGTTGGAAATCTTAGCCAGCAGTGAGCAGAAGGCAATTTCTCTAATGACATTTGGTTTGCATTGAAGAAAACTTGAGCTTTTCAGTGCATTTTTGTTTTCCGCCTCTTCGGAAGCTACTTTGGTCCCAGGGCTCTGGAGCATGGGCTGAGTCACAAGACTATGAATTCTCCTCAATTTTTGCAACCTCAAAGAAATATTGGGCACTGTACCACAGGTAAAGGCACCGTTTGTGGTCCCCGAGCACCTCAGACCCTGTGTGCCAGTGCAGAGCTGCCCACGGCACCGGTGCTCGGCCATGGGCACTGGACAATGGGCAGCACTGCCAGGGAAGGAGCCCAGCCACCTGCAGAGCAGCAGCTCTGGAGAACTGGAGGAAGAGAAATCTGGCCTCTCTCTCATTCCCCTTCCCATCTCTTGGCACATCGTGCCCTATACACTTGCATACCTGGGAACATCCTCCTCACCCTCCCATGTGGCTTTTTGGGGTGTTGGTGGTTTCTTGGTGCACCCAGGGGTGGCTGGAGGTGCAGTGCCAAGGTGGAACTAATTCCTGTAGAACTCAGATTTCACCTCAAAAGGTTTAAAACAATGCAAGATCTCCAGCCCAGCAGAAAATCATTTGCAGTTGCTGTGTTGCCTTGTTCACCCTTCAGTGGGATTTTAATTCATGGAACAACTCCGTACAGCACCACTACCTGGCTCCACTTGCCAGTTGTCTGGGTGGGATGGGATGTTACTGGTTTAGCCTGGAAATCCCAGTCCAAGCCTGGCTGAATGCAAGCCCAGCACATGCCCTTGGAGGGTTTCAAGGAATTTCAGCGACCTGGACTTGTTGCAGGAGCAGCTGAGGGGAGTGGGAGCTGTGGCACATACTCCAGCCTGTCTGTGGGCTCCTGCCAAGCGTAGGCTGTCAGGTTTTTCAGCTGGCTGTGCTGTATTGCCAGCACAACTATACAGGGAGACATTGTACAGGAATTGTCTGTATCATTTGGAAAGACAAAATTTTAAAGGAAAACCTAACAGTGACTTTTTTCCCCAGAAAAGGACAAAAATTTCTGATAGAGGAACAGATGCACAAAAAGCAAAGCTCGGTTCACCCCAAGGAAAGCAAATCTCTGGTCCTGAAGGAATAAATAAGTCTATGGGACTCATAGCCTCATTATCCCAAATTAAACACATTTCCTGGCTGTTCAGAGCAGGCAGTTTTCTGTGCTCTTATAGCAAATCTTTTCCCAAACGTATTAGGTGTTGGATTAAGGAAAGTAACATTTCATTGAAAGTAACGTGGAAAGCAGGGAGCTGAGCTGGTTCTCAGTGATTGACCGCCTCCGCCGGCCTGTGGGTCCCACGAATTGATCCCTGTGCTTTGCAAACGGACATTTTCAAGGAAACCAGCCCCGGGACGTGTGTGTGGGGCAGGGGCACGGCAGGGGCTGCTGAGTGAGCGGGGGGCACCGCGGCCGGGTCCCTCCGGCGGCTCCGGGACGCGCCTCCGAGCAGCAGGTCCGGGGGAGCGGAGTGCGGGTCCAGCCCCGCGCTGGGCACCCGCGCTCGCTCCGGGCTTGCTCCGTGCGTTCTCTGTCCCACGCCCTCCCAACAGCAGCAGCTGGCTCGGGGAGCACCTCAGGATGGTGGTTCAAGTGTCCTCCGAGCTTACGCGGGTTCAGAGCCGTGTTCCCTGTGCCCGAACCAGCGCTGCGTCACCCGAGCCCTTTCAGGGCTGCGGGAGCTGCTCCGCTGCCCACGGGGGCACTTGGTGCTCTCAGGAGGGCTCCGGCCATCGGTGCTGGTCAGTGGCACGGCCGGGATGGCAGCGGGGCTGTGCCCCGGGACACGGGAGCGCTGCGGGGGCGAGGGGGAGCCCACCTGCCCCGCCCCACGGCCCCACGCGGGTCACGGGGCGCTGCGGGACCGCGGCGAAACCCGCTCCTGCCTCGGGCTCCCGGAGCCGCGCGTGCAAGCACCGCTGTGACACGCGTGACAGCGAGTGACGGCGAGTGACAGCGAGTGACAGCGAGTGACAGCGAGTGACAGCGAGCACCGCCCCACACGCGTGTCCGTGTGCGCTCTGTTTGCTTTGTGTGCGCTGTGCCCATGTTTGCTCTCTGCTGCGTCTGTGTGCTCTGCATGTGCTGTTACTGCGCGCGATCTGTCTGTCTGTGTGCGTTTGTGTGTCCGTCCGGCCGTGTCTGTCTGTCCGTGTGTCCGTACATCCGTGCCTCTGTGTGTGTCTCTCTGTCCCGACCCCGCTCGTTCCCGCGCGTTTCGCGGCCCCGTGGCCCCGCCCCCGCGGGCGGAAGCGGCCCCGCTCTTCCGGCGGTTTTGGCGCGCGGCTGTGGGGCGGCAGCCCCGCCATGGCCCGCCCTGGCCCCGCCGAGCCCGGGGCCGCCGTCGAGCGGCTCTGCCGGGACCTCAACTTGGACGCGGCGAGCGCGGCCGAGGCGCTGCGGGACTTCACGGCGCTGCGGGGCACCTACAGCCTGGAGGTGAGCGGGGCGGGGGCGGCGGGGCCGGGCCGGGGTCCCGGCCGAGCCCCGGCTGAGCGCCGTGCCCGCTGTGCCCGCAGGGCGAGCCGCTGCACTGGTTGGCCTGCGCGCTGTACGTCGCCTGCCGCCGGAGCCGGGTGCCCACGGTGGGGAGCGTCCCGATGGAGGGGAACGGCGTGTCCCTGACCCGCATCCTGCGCTCCGCACGCCTCAGGTGAGCGCCGGGCTAATGAATTACCGCCGGGGCTGATTGCACAGCGCCCGTCAGTCCCTGCGCTGCCAAAGCCGCTGGCCCGGGGCCGCTCCCGGTGCTCCCAATCGCAGCGCCCGAGGCACAGCTGGGAAAGCAACAAATCCGCGGGTGTTACAGATGGAAATTAGATGCAAATACGTAATTTTCAACTTCAAGCCTTTGGGAGACCACCCATGTCGGACCAGCGGTTCCACCCACGCCAGTTGTTTCTCGCTGTAGTTAATTTGACCGCAAACACCTCGGCGTTGCCGTAGCGATCTCGATAGCACGCGTGTCTGACTCAGGACTCAGGGCAAATCCCAAGGGAGTGCTGGCGGCTCCCAGTTGTTCTGGGAACACAGCATTCCCCTTCTGCACGGCCTCGGCAGCAGCTCGCCTGCCCCTGTGGCTCTGACCGGGGAAGACAGAGCTGGAACGACAGAGCTCGGAATGTTTCTCGTTCCGTTTAAAGACCCGCTCCCGGCTGAGCTGCTGGAGGGGAGGTGCCAATTAATTACACCCAGAACTAAGAGGTTTTTGTGCAGGTAACTTTGGCAGGCTCTTGCTTGTGGTTTTGCTGCCTGTCCTGCCTCCCCCTCCACACGTGCAGAGCTGCATGTGATTTTTCCTTTCCACCTCTCCCATGCCCAACACAGCCATGCTGGCAGCTGCTGCATCAGTGTTCCTGTGCCTTAAAGAGGGTCAAGGAGAAACCCCAGAGTGATAAAAGGCAAAAAGCTTACAATATGTACAGTTTGGGAGTCTGTCAAAAAACCTGTAAATCTACATAGTAATCTAATCAGTCATTAAGGAGTAAATATGTTGCATTTTGGCAGTTAGTTAAAGCTCAAAGCAGACCTTTCTTTTTTCTTTAAAGTTTAATTCAGTTTTTTAGCAAAATGAAGAAGTGGATGGACATGTCAAACCTACCACAGGAATTCCGAGAGCGAGTGGAGCGGCTGGAGAGAAATTTTGAAGTGTCAACTGTGATTTTCAAGAAGTTTGAACCAATATTTTTTGATATATTTCAAAACCCTTATGAAGAAACTTCCAAGCCACAGCGAAGCAGGAAACAGAGGTATGAGATTTTGAGATTTAATGTGACTCTTCCCTGGAAAGAGTTATACCCAGGACAGATTTGTGAAAAAGAAGTTCTGAAGGGATGGGGCCTCTTTGACCCTGAAACCCAGCACACGCAGAGCCAGCCCTGACCCTGGGGGGTCAGCTCGGGTCCCCAGGGCTTTGCATCCCATTCCCTGTCACCCCTGGGAAGGTCTGTGTGTGTTGGGGGGAGGTGCCACGAGGTGGGTGAACTTCAGGGCGCAGTGAGACCAATGCTCTAAACGTTTAGCAGAAATAAGTGAAGTGGCACAGGGGTGTTTTGTCTTGGCACAGCGCAGGCAGGAGCTGGTGTGACAGGACCCCTCTGTGCTACAGTGATACATCCTCTGTTACATCCCCAGTGACCTGCTGGGTCCTTACTGTGGTTGCCAGATGAGGGAGGAAGTTACAGCTGATGTGCTCATTTTTATGACAAATTTGGTGGTGTCATCTTCCACACACACATGGGAGTTCTGCCTCCATTAAAGGAGGCAATTAATTGTCTGTGTTCCTTGCGGAGTGTGTGTGGCTGTCGCTGTGACATCTTTGTAGTGAGAGTGTAACCCTGGGGATGAGGGAGCCAAGCTGTGGCTCTGTGGGGTGTTTTTGGATGTGAGGGGGGATAATTTTTCTGGTAAAATGCTCCAGTGTAGCTCCCTGACTACAGGTAGAGTGTAGTGGGAGAAGTTTTACTGGGTGCTTTCTTTGTGTCCCTTAGAGCAGCGTTGGGCAGTGTCACTGTGGCTTTGGCTCCTCTGTGGGCTGTCCTGAGTAATGCCTTCCCTGGTCTTCCAGCTCCGTGGGTTTGGATAATCTCTACCCCAAAGGGGATTCAGCAGCTGAGCTGTAGTACAAGCTGTAATTGTGTGTTCTGAAGGGATGACTGATGCTTTAGTAAAATATTTAGGAAAAACCATCACTGGCATATATATAGCCCTTATAATCTCACCATCTCTGGCTGCAGGAGGGTTCTGTGGGAGATGTGACACCAGCAGAATAGTGTGGCAGGGTCAGAGGCAGCCACTGGCTTAGAAACAGGGTCAGGAGGTTGTGAATGCTGTGCAGGATGCCCTGTGGAGCCAGGTGGGAGGCTGTTGGCCAGCAAGAGCTGAAATCAGGACGTGTAGCTTAGACTGCACCTTAGTGTGAAATTAAGACAACAGCTCCAGCTGTTACTTTGAGCAGGGAAATGGAATGAAATTCCTACTGTAAAACAAGGTTCAGCTTTCTGGAACTGAAGAGTGACTTCTCCCCACTTTTCCTTGTTGCCAGGCGGGTGCCTTGCAGTGTCAAAGATCTCTTCAACTTCTGCTGGACTCTCTTTGTGTACACTAAGGGTAGGCTTGATTGCTTTAGCTGCATGGTTTGGATACATTCCCAGCTGTGAACTTCTGTTGTGTTGCTTGACGTGATGTGCTGTCTCTTCAAGGTAATTTCCGTATGATTGGAGATGATTTAGTAAATTCCTATCATTTGCTTCTGTGCTGCTTGGACCTGATTTTTGCCAATGCCCTTCTGTGTCCAAACAGAAGAGATTTGCTAAATCCATCATTTAAAGGTATGGTGGGGAAAGATTATTTACAATCAAATGAGATTTTTTTTTTCTCTTGGTTCATTTGAAATGAAGTTGAAGGTTGGTTGTCTTTCCCCCTCCCTCCTCCTCGTTCTCAGGCTTACCAGTGGAATTCCACACTCCAGAGATCAAAGCCTCTGAGGACCCTCCCTGCATCATTGCCACGCTGTGTGAGCTGCACGACGGGCTCCTGGTAGAAGCAAAAGGCATAAAGGAACACTACTTTAAACCATACATTGCAAAGCTGTTTGATAGGAAGGTACATCTCACTAGTTTTGTGAGTGCACAGTGGAGCCCCATGATGGCTCTCAAGACCATTTAGGTACTGTGGGTTCCTCAGGGAATGAGCAAATGAGCAAAGGAACTCAGGCTGGGTCAGGTTTTCTTTGTCTGTGTTTTAGCAGGAACAGAATTCACTCTCAACTTTTAATGCTGTGTGCTGTAAGGTCTCCTCTGTTTTGGCTTTTTATGTCAGTGGAGAACCTTTGCTTTCCTTTCTCGGCTTTGTGAAACTGAATTATTAAAGGTGGTGTTTTCTTCAGGCAAAAAAAATGTGATCTCCTTGTGAAATAGTTTTATGGGATGTCTGTTATAGTGGTGTGGGTCCTGCTGCTTGTCTTGCAGTTGAGCAAAATGCTTTGGAAGGAAGAGGTTGAGGTCGCAGGTGTACGAACTGTTCTGTCTAGTTTTGATCCTGGAAATGTTTTCCAAGCTCTTTGGAAGTTTCTGTGTAGTTGTTTGTCAGATCAGTCCCTAACCTGGCAGTGAACAGATACTGCATTGTAGGGCTGTGTCTGAAGAGTGAGTTCATCTGGAGCTTGGATCCAGCTGGGCTTTGTCCTCCTCCATTTGTCTTGATAATGGCACTGTAGCCCTTTGGTCTAGGCAAAAAAACCCCAAAAAAGTCCAATTATGCACCTCAATCTCATTTCCTTTTTGACTAAAACCATCATGTCCTCACAATTGGAGCAATTTTGATTTTATTATGTAAGATATTTCTGCTTTTTATTCTTAGATCTTAAAAGGAGATTGTCTGTTGGATCTCTACAACTTTACAGAAAATAGGTAAGTTACAGCTTTTGTTCTTAATCGTGGGGCTTGGTTCCATGTCTAAAACACTGGCCTTTGTGTACTATATCTCAGGTTTTCCTGTTTCTTTATCTTACCGTATCTAATGGGTTTTTGATTATTGACCACCAAAGCTTCTCTCTGGCTGAAATGCTTTCTTGTTCCGAGATGTGGCCAATGTCAGGGGTTCAAGCTGCAGAGGTTCTTCCTTGCTGTCAGGTTTTTTGGTGCTTGCTCTGATTTTCTGGTGACTAACCTTTGAGTAATCTGATACAAATCAAAGCCTTGACTCTGAAGTGCACAGATGTATTTCTGTACGCATATTTTGCCCAGGTAGGGAAGTGTTTAAATTCATTTGTCAGTCTCTAATTGAGTGTATAAATCTGTGGATGCAGCAGAAGGACTTCAAAGAAAAAGAAGAAACAATTGCAAAACCACAAAAGAGGTGAAGTGTTTCTGTGGGAGGCGAGTGTAATTGTTTCAGGAACTTTTTGAATTCATTTCTGAAGGTTAATTTAAATGCAAAATAGGAACAGCAGCTGCTTTGTTCTGGATCCCTTACGGTTTGGGGGTTTTTTTACCTTTTGCAAAAATACCTATTAATTTGTTTTTGCTAGGTTAGCTCTTGTTGGTTTTTCGGGAATTTTGAGATAAGACTTGATTGTTTTAACAGTGTAGATAACACTTAAATTTAGATATAAACCCATGTATAAACTGTGATCCATTGACTATGCAATTTTTCTTATTGTTTCTACTTAAAAATTAATAGTATTACATACAGTAGTCCCTGTTCTTTTGAAAGTAGCCTGGCATCTAAAAGAAGCATGGAAGCCTGTTAGGGTTTGGGTTTTTTTTTTGTCCAAACTTTCCATAGTTGTTTTTTTCTTTTTTCTTTTCCACTTCCCTTTTTTTTCCCTAAAAGACATGGGGAAAGTGAACCAGTGATACAGTCAGGTTTCCTGTGGGATCCCAGAGTCGCTTTTGTCATGATTCCATTATGTTCCACTACTATGTCTGCTTCAGTGGTAGCTGGAACTGCATTCCTGGCCCACGGAAAAGCTGCAGGCAGGATTTATTGATGTGAGCCATTTCTGATTTTTATCCAAAAGCTCCATTCCGCTTCCTAAGTGTAAATTTAAAGCTCTGCAACCTTGGTGGGATTAAACATTTCTGTTTCCCAATTGGGTTAGCTGGAATAAAGAAGGTGAAGGATTTGTTTGGTCTCACAGCTAGCTAGCTCTTCCCTGTCCCTTCTGCTGCACCATTAGCAAAATTATGGGCTAGGCAGTGGCAAAACCAGAAATCCCGTGGAGGTGGATGCAGCTTCCATTGGTGTGCTCTGTGTGTTCACAGATTTAACCTCTGATCAGTTGAGCACTTCCAGACTGGTTTATTCACAACTGGGGTAGAGGCAGAGTTGGATTTTTTTCCTCTTCTTACTGAGAGCCAAATGTTGGTGGTCACTTAGGAGGAAGAATGGTCCCTGCAGCAGGTCCTGGAGAGCTTTCAGTCCCAAGGCAGGCAGGGATGACCCCAGGCAGGTTGCCTGGGGAGGTGGAAGCAGCACTGCTGCCCAGAGCATGGAACACTTTGAGCCCGTGTTGGTGTGAGTTTGTACTTGCGCTCCACAGGCGCCTTCTTTGTTTCTTCAACAGTTAAACCTTTGATATCAAACCTGGGCTTCTCTTTCAGCAAAGCACTGAATAAAGAGTATGAAGAGTATGTTCTGACCGTGGGTGATTTTGATGAGAGAGTTTTCCTGGGAGCTGATGCTGAAGAAGAAATTGGCACTCGAAAATTCCCTGCAGATGTGCTGGTAGAGAAAACGGCAGCACGAGCTCCCACAGAGTGTCATCTGCAGCAGCATTTTGAAAAGGTGATTCATTTAACACACCAGTCTCACTTGAAGGACTCGGAGTTTTCTCATCCTTACACACACTTTGAATTATTGAGGGGACTTGGAATTTCTTGAACTTCTTCCTGAGAGGAAGGCGGTGAATGCCATTTGCAGGCTTCAGTACTGTCTTGCTAAGGAGAAATGGTGGTGTTGTCTTTCCTGTGGAATTTATTGTATAATTATTCCTTAAACTGGATGAGAGCACTTTCATGTGTTTAGTCTGGTTTTGCCCAAGAAAAACCTGTACGTAGGTAATACCTAAATATATAGGTCTTACAGTTTTGTTCAAGCTCCATAATCATGCCACAAACCCTTGACACTGGATTCATTTATTTGTTTTCCCAATATTTCCTTTCTTAGGATAGGAAAGGTCATCTTTTTTATTCTTCTGCGGAAAATAACATTCACAGCATAAACCTCACCAAACTGTCTGTTCATTACAAAAAGTAACCTATTAACAGAGTAAATGTTTCACTGTGTTTAAAAATGTACGATCTATTTAATGAAGTTGGCATGCAGGAAAATGCTTGATTACTTTTGGATAAGGAGAAAATAGTGCTGGCTGTGTGAAAGAACCATATGCTGTTTGATTTACATGTCTATTAAAAAATAAGAATTCTTATTCCAAGATGCTAGTGGTTGTGTAAATGAATCCTATGGCTTAGCTTTTTCTGCCAAATATGAGTGTATTTCATATTCAGGCAAATTAAAGACAGGGATGTGGAATGGGTTTTAGCAATTCTGAGCTTCAGTTTCTGTAACATAACAATATTGCTATTAATGCATAATGACTGCAGGCTTAACCTTTTCTCATTATTTGCTGTGTATCTTCAGAATGTTTTCTGCTCTGATAATTAAATCCCAAAACTGTATCACTTCCAGAGAGTAGGATACAAATAGGTAAGTGCTGTCCACGCAGCTCCATCTACTCAGTGCTGCATCATCCTTTGGATAAAGGAGGGCTCGAGGTCTGCCTGGACAGCATTTTCCAAGGAATATTTTCCTATGGACCTCTCCTGGGCAGCTCTGCCACCCACTCCTTGTGTCACACAGCTAATGCAGTCAGGGACTGAGAATGGAAGCATGTGCTTCCTTATCCTGTATTTTTCAGTGTTCAGATGATCTTAAAAAATTAAAGGCTTTAATATTTTAGGTCTTGATTTACTGTATTTTATTTTTTAAAACCCTTTGAGTTAATTTTCATCTGCATGAAGATTTGTTATATTTTGTATTTATGGAGTCCTGGGAAAACTTTGGCTCATTTTCAGCCAGTTCTGAGCTCGCAGGTTTGATGAACCCTCACGTAGTGTACTGGTGGTGTAATTTTAGTCTTTGGAGGGATTTTGCAGGAGATGCTCATTTGAAAGGTTATTGAAACTGCTTTGTTGGCTGATTTTACTTGTTATCTTTCTCTTTGTGACAGAAAAGATCATTTGCACCTTCAACTCCCCTGACTGGCCGACGATACCTGCGAGAGAAGGAAGGTGTCATCACTCCTGTGGCTTCAGCCACGCAGAGCGTGAGCCGCCTGCAGAACATGGTGGCTGGGCTGAAAAATGCACCCAGTGAACAACTTACAGCTATTTTTGAGTGAGTGTGTCCACTTCAGCTGCTCTCATACACACAGGAACTGACCTTCTGGCTTTTTTTGTTTGGTGCAGAGTACTTAGGTCTGTGTTTCTGTAGTATTTCTTGTTGAAAGATCTGTTTTCTAGATCTCATCTGGAGCAGGATGGCTGAACACCCCTCCATCTGATTTGTCACCACCATTGTATTAATGGAGACTCAGTTTTTGGTGGTGTTAATTTATCTGTTTGCTTGAAAGCCAAATGCCTTTTTTGTTTATTTATTTGGATTTTAAATAAGTATGGCTCTAATAAAAGATGTGGTAACTTTGTTGTCAGAGGTTTTGGAGGAGGGCAGAAATGTTGGAATCAACAAGCTGTAGTGTTGGCCTTCAACTTGGGAAGATAAAACTAAAAGCAGCGTACAGACTTCCCATTTCTCCTTCCTACTACTTCAGGATATCTTAATCTAACTCTGTAGCACTTGTATAAGCCTTGCAGTGACCCTGGTTACTGTCAAAGCTGATCTCTTGTGTAGCAGCAGCTGTGCTTTCCATGTTGGTTGTTCTGGTGGCTGTTCCCTGAGCTCTCTTCAGCTTTCCCCTCTGAGCCTAGCTCATAAAAAGCAGTAATTGAATAGTAAATACCTGTAAAGATGGGTGTTTGCTTAACATCTGCAAGTTAAGGCCTTGCTGTATTATGGTGTAAGGTCTGCAGATGTGTTTTTATTAATCAGAATGGACATTTAGTAATAGGATTTAATATTTGAAGTGCGAAAGTAATGTTTTGTAAAATAACCATCATAAATAGGTGAAAAATATTACCTGCAGTTCTCATCTGTGGAGTTATGTATATGTTGAAAGTTTTCCTAGCATTATTTCTTCAAATTTTACAACCACTCAGCAGGATGCCTTTGTTTTGAATGTTTCTTTGATTGTTTTTTAAGGACTGATATTATTTATATTACACAATTAAGACAGTGAAGTGTCTGCAATCTCTAATGAAAAATTATTATTACTTTGTTCCAAGTAATAAACTAGTCTGTCAGGAGAGGTAAATATTAAAATGAGAAAAAAATTGAGTAAACCTCTTACAAGAGTTGTGGTGACTACTTTGCTCATACTGGACATGAGTTCAGCAAGCACTAGGATATGTACTGTGTGATTGGGAGAAATGGGAGGAACTGTAGTTTGGACTGTGTAATATTCTGTGCTTTTTAGTATTTTCATTTTCAAATGAAAATTCCACGGAGACGGCTTTGAAGTTAATTAGAAGGCTTTGTTCAAAGAAACCTTAGTTGCTTTCAGTTCTGGCTTTTCATAATAGTTTATTGTCTTAAGTTGACATCAGTGACAAACCACTGTCCACTAAAGCAGTTTCTGGAAGATCTGAAAGCTTTCAGAGAGACCATCTCTAGCCAGAGATTCTCTGGCCCATTTTTATGACAGTGACTGTCTGGAGTTCACCACTTTCTCTCTGTCTTGGTAGTAAATGGGAAGATGTTGGCTCTTCAAGCTTTTCTGTACTCCCTCAGACTGAGCCTGGCTTGTGTGGTCTCGTAGATGCATTTGGTTGGTTGTTGCCTTTGGCAGCATCCTCACTACTGCCCTGCTCTCACCAGATCCTTTTTCTCCTGAGTGTGCTGCTGTAGCTCTTCCTTTCTCCTGCATTTATTCCAAGATCTACATAGCCTCCCTAACCTTGTTAGGAAAGGAAAAAAGGACACAATATTTGTGTGCTTTATGTTTTCCTCTGTCTGGGTAATACAGGTTATTGCAGATGAGGAATGTCCAGTATAATTAGCGTCCCTTTTTATTTTGGTGGTATGGTTTTTTGTTGTTGTTGTTCTTGAGTTTGTTTTTTTTTTAATCTGGGTATTAATTTATACAAACAAGGCTTTCTCTTTGCCTTCTGCTTCAGGTCTTGTGCCCGCAGCCCCATGGAAAGCATCATGAGCAGAGTGAAGGAGATCGGTGAGACCTTCTGCTGCAGCTACACTCAGTCAACAGCTGAGCAGCCAGGCTCTCATATAGGTATGGAGTGAAAGGCATGGGATGTTTCAAAATACTAAACCAGGGCAAATAGAGTGCATACATACACTCTTGTCTAAATACTTAATGCAGTGGAGCTGTTTTTATCCCAGAACATACCCAAGCAGAAAACTGTTGCTGTCAAACAGAACACCGTAAAAAATAAAAATTTATGACAGAGCAAACCCAAAGCTGCAGTTTGAACTAGGACAACCAAGAGATAATGGAAAAGCAGCTCTTAACAACTGTAAACTTGCATTCTTCTTGGCTTTAAAATCTAAAGGGAACTGAATACAAATAGGAAAGTTATTATCGCAACATTGCGAAACTACACCAGAAGAAATATTAAGTAATCCTTTAAAACATTTGTCGAATTTCATGCTGTGCTTGGGCCTAGCGGATTTCTGAACATACTTTTCTGGTTTGCAAAGTGTGTACATACACACCCACGGTATTTTCTTGGATCAGGACAGGTTGCTCAGTTTAATCTGAAGACCATTTGTGCCGGTGGCATTGGACTTCATCTCTGTTGGTTTTAAATTTCAGATTTTGCTGTAAACAGATTAAAACTGGCAGAGATCTTGTACTATAAAATCTTGGAGACTATAATGGTGCAAGAAACACGGAGACTGCATGGGAAGGATCTGACTGTAAGTAAAGAACTGTCTGAAGAGTAGACCACTTTTTGTAACTGTTTCTCAGAGTTTGTCTTCAGGCAGTTTCAGAACAGAGCACTGTAAAGCACTCTGTGTATATTGTTAATATTTAAAAGGGGAAATACATGGGAGGTGCCTAAATGTGTTTTTTTCTACTGTTAAAACCAGTATAACTGGCATAACCAGCCATCTGAATTTGTGGTGCCTTCTAGAATCACAGCTTTTTGGACAGTTGACTTTTATTCTCTTCTTGATCCAATGAACAATATCAATACTTCATGTTAGGCAGCGCTGCATTTGCTCTGCTTTGTGGTGCACAATAAGGAGTTGATTTGTCCATAGTATGCAAAATGGGGTGGGTTTGGTGCTGTTACTCGCGCTTGCAAGAAAAGTGAGAAAAGTGGGTAGAGCCCTTCCCAAATCTTCGTTCGCGAAGCCTAGCCATGATGATGGTGCTGTTACTCTACATCTGGTCTTCTAAATTCCCCTGTAAAAAAGAGGAGGTTGTGAACAGTGGAAAAAAGCAGGTTCTTTCACAAAATTCCAACTTCCACTTCCCAGCCATGAGACCACTGCCATTTTGTGTGTCCCCTCAGGCTCTCCTGGAGCAGGATCTGTTCCACCGCTCGCTCCTGGCGTGCTGCCTGGAGATCGTGCTCTTCGCCTACAGCTCCCCTCGCACCTTCCCCTGGATCATTGAAGTGCTTGACCTCAGGCCCTTCTATTTCTATAAGGTAAATAGCCTCTGACTTGGGACAGTATCTGTATTAAAAATGGCATGTTACTGGATTGAGAGGATGATGCTCTTCCTCCCTAGGGAATCAGGTAAGAGAAGGACTGATGTTATTGTGCACTGTGCCGGTTCTAGACCCTGACTGTCCTGAAATAATATTACCTGGAATATGTAATGCCAGAGCTGAAGCTGAAATATGAAGCAAAAAAATCCATTTTGTAAATGGTACTGAACTGTAACATGCTGTCAATCAACTTTTAGTTCTTAATCTGTATACACTGTTAGTAGACTAAAGCATCAAGCATATTTTTTTCTGATACTCTGTTTCTGGTCATTTTTTTGAACACATTCACCCCACCTCCAATGTAATTTGTTTTTTGACTACTTCAGTCCTTTTATCACCTATCCATATGCCTCTAGTTTTTGCTGGACACCTCACAGCTTAGCATGAATAAATCAAGTAGTTCTGTTTAGGTGACAGCAACCAAAAAATGGAACCCTTTGGAAAAGCTCGTTTATATTCTGTTCTCCTTTTTTCCTTCACTGATCAGCTTAGGGCAGTACTGAAGCTGAAACAAATCTGTCAATATTGCTGTGGCTTTTGGTAGCCTTCTTCAAAATGAAATGCACTGGTGCAGACCCAACTTTGTGGAACAGATTTATGTTTGATTTGAATTTTTTTTTGCTATTCAGTGTATTGCAGCACTCTTAGGTGAAAAAAATTGCCATCACAAAGGCTTCACACCAGGGAGACTTGTGACATTTGTAACTTTGTTCTCCAGATGCTTAGTTTCTGTAGCAGGAATAACTAAAAATATCAATAAGTCCTCCAGGCAAGTCTTATGGCATTTCTGGAGCTTTAGAAAAACAATCTGAATGCTCTTCAGACAGGAGTAAAATAAATAAAGTGGATTTTGTGTTGGAGCATGGGGGTGGAGTACGATACTGCAGGGGATCTGTTCAACCCCCACTTGTCCACGTTAAGGGTTCTGAGCATTTCTTAAAACTTTGGAGCAGTGGTTTTCAGCCCTTCGTGTTTCCTGCTGCTTTGAAGGGCAGGAAAGCTGGAATGCTGGGGCTGCCACGTGCCCTGCTGAGCGGCTGGACCTGTTCCCATCTCCCCAGCTCTGCTGCACGTGCTGCAGGGTGAGCTCTGGCTGTGCTCAGTGTTTCTTTCTGTGCATGCTTAGCAATGGGAAGAGAGGGCCTAAAAACCCCTGGAGTGGGTTGGTCTGCATTGATGGCACATCTGCTGTCCACTTCTGACTCCTGGGTTGCCTTTGGGAAAGGGGGTTAAAAAAACGGGGATCAGAAGAGGGCTGAGGAAGATGAAGATACAAGGAGAAGGCTGGAGCACTCTTCGTTGAAGTTTCAAACAGGGTCGTGAAATGAAGAACAGTCTGATAACGTTAAACATGAGCAATGTGACTTTGGGGTGTGTGTGATTGCCATCAGGTCATTGAAGTGCTGATTCGGTCTGAGGAAGGACTTTCCAGAGACATGGTGAAGCACCTCAACAGCATTGAGGAACAAATTCTGGAGAGTCTTGCCTGGACTCGGAACTCGGCACTCTGGAATGCACTCGAGGCATCAGACAACAAAGTCCCAACCTGTGAAGAAGTAGGTGATTTGTTTTCCTTTAAATAGGAAATTCACTGTTGCTTTATACAGAAAACTGTTCAAACGAGACAATTGCTGCAGAAAATCTTCTATTGATAGATTGGCACAAAGAAGGGAAATTCATTTGTTATCTTACACTGACATTTCTTATTTCTCAGGTAATATTTCCCAGTAATTTTGAAGCCAGCAATGGAGGAAGTGGGCTTGGGCATTTGCCTATGATGCCATTATCTCCCATAATTCATCCTCGAGTAAAAGAGGTTCGAACAGATCTTGGTGGGAGTTTAAGACGAGGTATGTTCAAGGTTTCTGATCCGATTTGAATGTGTGAATTTGGGGGGAGGGGTTTTAAGCTTCTTTGTAATTGCAAAAAGCAATCTTGAATGTGAATTAAGCATTCAGAACTGTGAAGCATCTTATTTGATCAAGGGAAGGTCTGGATTCACCCAGTCAAACCAGTGCTGTGTCTCACTGGCAGCAGACAGTGCTGATGGTGCTTCCCTGCTGGACTGGAGCAGGTTTTGCTGCTGGTTTGATGCCAGAGTGACCTTACTCTCAGGTGGGTTTTCATGTAATGGCTTATTGTCCTTTGATGTTCAGATTTTTTCAGGTTTTTTTGGCTTTTTATTTGTTTGTTATCAGTGAGTTTGATTGGATTTCAGATGACTTCTTTTTTAATTAAATGACTGGTGCATTTATTCCTGCTTCCTATGGAACTGTTTTTGTGCAGGAAGGGAGGGCAGTATTCTCTGCTCTGAAGAACAGTTCTTTGCAGATTCCTGAATCTGACATAGAATTATCTCCTGACAGTGAGGGTGCAGAGGCAGTGCCAGCACTGCTGTTCCCTTTGCATACTCCCCTAGTTAGGAATTGCTGCTTTTGTTGTATCCCAGACACTATTCCGTATGTTCTCGCAGGTGCACCATGGACTTACTGGTTGTGTGATGTCTCCCTTGGTGTTTATCTGGCAAATTGCAGGACAAGACTGATTTATTTTTTTTTTAAATACTCCTTAGGAAAGAGATGTACAAGCAGTTGCTGTAGGTGAAGTGGTTTGTTGTCGGAGATGGTGTCATATATGGGTAGAGCTGTGTGAGACGTGACCTTGTATATGAGAATCTGGTACCAGAAGCTCCTCCTGACTTCAGTTGGAGTATGGTGGGGATTTGAAATGCTTATTTGCCCCTGGTATCAAGAGAACCATCTTGGCAGAGTTAGGAATATGGTCTCCAATCAGTCTTAGCTGACCAATTATCCAGAAAGTTTCTGTTTTCTGGGAAATTGGAAACTGCTGTCACTGGTATCTTCACAGACTGCAGCAGAAATGCAAAAAGCCTGTGAACTGAAGCCTGTACATTAGTGCTGTGAACTTCGGCCTTACTGCTGGAGGAAGTATTTGAAAGCAACAGAAAAGTCTGAGAGGAACCAGGGGTGGGTGAGGGTGGAGGCACCGGACTCAGGTCAGTGTAGAGAGAGCTTGAAAGCCAGAACATAGAGAAGACTGCATATCCAGGGAATATGGTCAGTGTTCCTGTAGATAACTGTGCTCAGAGGAATAGCACTTGCAAATATTACTAATTGCTAAGCAGACTGGAGTATCTGTGACCTTGTGTGTTCCTCAGTCTCTGCAAATTTGTTTTGTTACTCGGCTTCCATGTGGTACCTGATGGGAAAACTGCTGTCTGGGGTGACTGCAAAATAAAAGGAGTCAGACTGTAGATCTTGTTCACATCACCTGGGAACAGTGAACTCTGAGAGCAGATCTGAACTAGAAGAGATCTCTGGTACTCTGGTGTAGTTGGAAGGCAGCCTTTCCCCTTCTCTGGAGAAGTATTCCCATTAAGCTGCTGCTCATAAGGTTTTGTTGATTTTATCTTTTTGTCCTTGGCATAGCAGACATGCAGCCCTTGTCTCCAATCTCAGTTCATGAGCGCTACAGTTCTCCTGCAGCTGGAAGTGCTAAGAGAAGGCTCTTTGGAGATGACAGCCCCCGAGAAACTCAGATGGAAAAAACCTTAACCAAAGGAACTAAGTTGACAATTGCTCCAGCGTCGAGCATTGGTGCTGAAAACGTGTCAGTGTCTCCTGGGCAGACAGTGCTGACCATGACAACCACTGCAGGGCCGGGGAAAGTGGGACAGAAGGTCACGATCCCACTGCACGGTACGAATTCTTCCTGCTTTGCTAATAGATGTTTTCCTTGCTCTTAAGATCTGCTTAGACCAATCATGCACTCGGAGCATGTATTGCTTGTCCTCTTTTAAAGAATGCTGACTTTGTCCAAAAAAAAAAAAAAAAGCTTAAGTTCATACTGACATCTTCTCCTTGGAGACATCTGGTCCCTGGCAAACATCCCAAGGATTCAGAATCATGAACAAAGTTGTGGAGTTCGTGCTTCTTCCAGTTATACCTTACACAGGTTAAGTGATGCTTTGGTTCTCAGCTCCAGTAAAAATTTACTGCAATTTATCTTAACTTTGGTCTGTTATAATCTTTAAAGGCTCTGGAATTTCTAGATAAGGGTTACGTGTTAACAATAGGAAAATACTGGGAGACCTCTATTTTGTTAAAGTTGGGTGATGCTTGAATATTTCTGAAAATGATACATGAGCAATAAGTTTTATAGCCATTTTTAATTTAAAAATTGGGTCTACAGTTAAAGACGAAGAAAAAATCTCCATTTTTTTATGTTTAGGGAGATTTTCAGCAAGAGAATTTGACTACTGAGGAAACTAACGTGGACTGTATCGGATATGCTGTCAGGTTTGCAGAATAGTAAAAAAAAGGGAGTGCCCACCTCCCCCAAAAGAGTGGAACACCAAGTACAGAAACTGTGATTTCTTCTAAACTTTGTCCTTTCAGACAATTTTAGAAATGATCATTCACATTCATAGTCTTCCTTTAACCTTACCAGAAATGTAATTTTTAATCATTTCTAAAGACTCAGAGGGATAGAGTCTTTCTAGCATCTAGTACAGAAGATGAGATGCCTTTAGTATGAAATGTTTGTAAATGAGTTCAGTTTGCAGTTTAGCTCTGCAGCATGAGGAGAGTAACTGGTTTGTTTCTGGGTGCGTGTATCCTCTCCAGGTATTGCAAATGAAATGGGTGGGATCACCTTGATCCCCATTTCAATTAATTTAGGCCAGCCGTGTAAAATGGAGGCTCTGGCTCCTTCCTGCCACCCCCCAGGGAACCAAGCACAGGAAGTGCAGGTGTCAGCAGCGAGCAAACCAAAGAGAACGGGGTCCTTGGCACTGTTCTACAGGAAGGTGAGTGTCCTTATTGCAAGTTGTGCTGTACTTCTGCTCGTGGCCATGCTGGAACCTGCCTCCTTGTGCAGCATCCATAGCTTTCAGTCTTCATGTACCTTTCCTTTGGTACCTGCAGTTCTTATATACCTCAAAGGAGAAGGAGAAAAATGTTGAGTGTTGGAGAGAATCCAGTTTTCCCCTTCCCATTCATGAGATTTTTTTCCTTTTAATTAAGACCTTCCGTAAATAACTGTCAAAGACACATCGGTAGATTTTACTTCTCTTGTCTATTTTGACTGCTTCCCACATTTGCAAATTAGACATATCCAAGATGAGATGATCCTCCCCTGTCTGTGGATCCAGCATCTGGAGATTCTCATTTGCCACTTTGAGGCCTGCCTGCTAGTGCTGATCATGCTGGGCTGGGAGCTCAGTGATGAATGACACACTAGCTAGGGGTTTCTAGAAAGAAGGAACTTTTTGAAATAATGCAGGATTTAAGGGGCAAGTTAAGAACTGACTGTGCTTCAGAAAAATTTCAGATGACTTACTTCTAGTTACCTTCATTTCCAGTGTGGAGTGTATGAGGGGTCTTTGGAAGAGGCAGAGTAACTTGGTCTAAATGACTACAAAGAATATATGCCTAAATTAATCTCTCAAAAATATTAGAAGATTGGTTTTTTGCTGTTATTTTCTTACTAGAGAAGTTATTTTTAGAGGGTGTCCCCTTTGGCAGTATCTGTATTAAAATACAACCTAGAAAATTCTGCAATGAACGATCTTTAAGGTACGTTTTAATACAGAAAGTAATTTCTGGAAACACTTGTAAGCCACATCCTGTGTCTGAACTATTGGTTCTTTAATTTTGCTAGTGACAGTCTGTCTCTCTGAGAACAGATTAAGCATTGAGTAGCCAGCTGCCAGGTGGGAACATTGCAATTTGGAACGTTTACTCTCAGCCAGGGAGTACCTTCAGCTGTAGCCATGTATTTGACCAATAATAGGCAATATATTCTTCTTAGTTATGAAGGAGAACTAAAATCTTGATCTTAAATTTGTCTTTAAATTTTGACCTTTCATTTACATTGATCATGCTATTCACAATGATAGTTTTTCCCTCCTCTCCTTTCTTGCTCCTGTTCAGTAGAGCAAGTGAAAATAAAATGACCTCCTTCTGCTTTCTAGCATAAAGAATGGGCCTAATTAGTTAGTGAGGGATATGGTGTAGAAGCTGTAGGCATAATGTTTTTAGGCAGATTTTCTATAAGCATTAGAGATTCAACAGCTGAAGAGTGGACAACTTAGACTTTGAATCATAGAATCCCAGAATGGTTTGGATTGGAAGGGACCTAAAAGATCATCTCATTCCAACCCCCTGCCATGGCCAGGGACACCTTCCACTACACCAACACTTCCAGGCATGGGGCAGCCACAGTTTCTCTGGTCAACCTGTGCCAGGGCCTCACCACCCTCACAGGGAACAACTTATTCCCAGTATCCCATCTAACCCCTGCCCTCTGGCAGTGGGAAGCCATTCCCCCTTGTCCTGTCCCTCCAGGCCCTTGTCCAGTGTCTTTCTCCAGGCTGAACAACCCCAACCCTCTCAGGGTGTCCTCACAGGAGAAGTGTTCCCTCCCTCTAGTCATCTTCACGGTCCTTCCAGAACAGCTCTGCTTTGAGCCATTTCATTTTTGCAGGGTGGGATAAGGTTGTTTGGCTTCACCCTTTCCTGTGTGTGTTTCTCTCCCAGGTTTATCACCTGGCCAGTGTGCGCTTGCGTGACCTGTGCTTGAAGCTGGATGTTTCCAATGACTTGCGCAGGAAGATATGGACGTGCTTTGAATTCACGTTGGTTCACTGTGCTGATCTAATGAAGGACAGACACTTGGACCAGCTCCTCCTCTGTGCCTTTTATATCATGGCAAAGGTAATGTATAGTTTTTAAGAAATTTGGGGAATTTTATGCTCAATTGACAATGTCAGGTGTGTTCAGAGTGTACAATTTAATTGCTTCATTCTTGTCATGTTACTGGAGGGAAGGAAAAAGTCCTTCCAAAAAGTGCATGAAGTCCTAGTATGTGTTTTTCCTTGTTTTGCATATCTTAAATGTTCCCACCAACCAGCCAGTATGTTGAGAGGGTTTTTCTTCTCTTCCTGAGCACATTCAAGGTGAGCGCTGGTTGATGCAGACAAAGCACTGTGTGATCTTACTGCCCCATGTTTGTTTTCTATTCTGTTTGTCATCTTCACCATCTGTATAATCTGAACCAAAAAATCCATTACAGTGACAGAATTAGGCAGGTGCAGAAGTTTGCAGGAGCAAATGTATGTAGGGAAGGTTTCTATTCCCCAAAAATCCTCTTAGCTTTTGAAGATCCAGGCTGAGGAATTGAGGTGGTTGTCTGCTACTCGTACTTCTTCATTTCTTATTCCATTTGCCAGCTTTGATTTAAGGTGTTGTTAAGTTGGATTATGAAACTGGAATATTAGTTTGACTCAAACTTGAGCTGATGTTTATGGTGTTCATCAAGTCTAATTCAGACACAAAATTCAGGAGGTGAAACTAAGCCCAGGCTCCTTCCACTGGGGCTGAATTACCTTTTTTGAGGCAGACAAATGAAGTGGGGCACCACATGTGGAGGGAAACCTGTGCTTTTAACTGCAGTGTGGCTCAGGCTCACCTGACATCAGTACTGATAGCTGCAGGAAAGCAAACCCACTGAATAGTCAGTGCTCTGTATCAGTGGTCTGTGTCACGTAATTTGCCAGTTGTTTGGGTTTTTTTCACAATACAGGCTTTCAAGTGCTGACTCCAGTGCAGTGTGAGACCTGACAACTTAGCCAGAGACCGTGATACATTCTCTCCTGGCCCCTACTACAAAAATTGTTCCTTATCTGCTGTTAAAATTGCAAATGTATGGCTGAAAAACTGCTTTAGCAAGTGAGCTATTTTGAAGTACAAAAGCAAGATGAAATTGCAAGAGTGTACATACCTGCCTACTTTCTGTTTAGAAAAGTTAAGGGGTCCAGTTTCCAAATTTACAAAATGCATTTTTGACTTTATAATATTTCCCTTCTTTAATTTTAAGTATCACTATAAGAAAAGCCGAAAAAGAAAAATGCCCAAGCATCATAATAAAAAGACTTTGGTGGCTAAGAAACAAGGAATTCTTGAACAAGAAAAATCCTTGGTGTTTTCTTATTCTCATCACCAGAATTAAATTTTGAAATTATGTACTGATAGTAATACTCACCAAAAAGCTGCATGCTGGACCTGAGCAGCCCAGCCTTCATTCTTGCACTTGGTCTTCAATACCCTTTCCTGTTCCAGGTAACCAAAGAGGAAAGAACTTTTCAGGACATAATGAAAAGTTACAGGAATCAGCCACAAGCAAACAGCCATGTGAGTCAATAGCATTGCCTTTCCTTTCTGCAGATATCAGAGGTGACTTTTCAAGTGTTTGTGCTCATAAATCCTGTGCAGTATAATATTCATTCCTATTCAAATGGATTTCATCTGGTCTCTTCCAAACTTCCTTGTTTTCCTTGACAAGAGTGTTTTTCCCTGGTGTCTTGTAGGTTTATAGGAGTGTCTTGTTGAGAAATATTTCTGCTGATGTCTCGGGCAAAAATGCAGACCCAGACACGGAGATGACAGAAGGTGGGTACAGCAAAGGAATCTGCTCTTTTCAGTAATGTTCTTGTGGGCTTTTACAGAACTGAACTGTCAAGTGATAAGAAGTGGAGCAAATTTTACAGTTTTAAATATGTTAAAGAAGAACAAATGTAATGTTGAAAAAGAAACCCTCTTGTCAGTAGCTCTCCTGTGTGATAGAAGTGGAAATTACGCTTCCTAGTTGGAAAGAATGTTTGATTTTTCTTTCCATAAATTTGGTTGCTCAGGGTTGAAGTATCTTCTTAATTTGTCAATGGTATTATAGTTCTTCTTGGACAGCAACACTGGTTAGGAAAGAAAGATGAAGATGAACAGTACCTGGAATATTATGATTTTTTTTTCTTAATATCGCCTGTTCTGAAGATTTAAGTAGGGAGAACTTGTTTCAGAAAATAAAAATGCTGACTCACTAAGACCACCATTTTCTTATACTCGGGGTTCTTTTAAATAGATGAAATATTCTTTGCTCTGGGTTAGAGGAGAAAAGGGTAAGAGCAGTATTAGAGAAAAGCGTGAGAACTGTGCTGTGCCCATTTTGAGTGACGTGTCAGGACAGAGATCTTGAGCCCATGTATGAACCCATGAGCAGAGCAGATCTGCAGCCAGGGCACATGTGGAATTTAGGAGTTTTTTCTTTGTGATATGTTCCCACTGTGGCTGGGATTCAACTGCCTGAGGGAGTATTAAAGCTGTTTTTTAAAGGCCTGGTGAGGATTCCATCAGGGTCCAGGAAAGTGCTGATCTCCTGTAGTTCAGCATCCTGTCTGACAAATCCACACTTCTTGGATGTCTTGGAGTATCTGAAGTGACACTGGGCTCCAGTGTTTTGTCAGACAAATGTACTTGGTTACAAAGTTCTTCGTTGGCTTTTCCTGCCAGACTTTTTCTTCAGTTTATAGACTTGTGTCTCCTTTGTTTAGTAACCCCTGCTCTTTTGACAGCAGCTTACAGGAGCACGTGCCTGTGTTGTGACAGAAGGCAGACAGATGGAGTTACAGGTGTCAGCTGGAGCTTTTGATGTTTGTCTCCGTGCAGTGATGGCCAGAGACTTTATTCTGCACTGCCCTGTTTTACTTGGCAGTAGCAGAATGGAGGAGGAGACATAGAAGGTTGTATTCAGTAGCACTTCAGCTGAATTAGGGGAGAAGGAACATTAACAGAAATACACTTGCTGTGTGGCTGCAGCTTTTCCCACTGAACATAATGCACCTGAACAAATGGTGCCATAGCTTCTGTGCTGCAGATGTGAGTTGAGCTGATCAATAGAAACTTTCACAGAAGGCAAAAGCTGAGAGGTGTCAGACTGCTTAAAACATAGTTTTAAGAGCGTCTAATGGCTTTGTACCACTCCCCAAAATAAGCACGGGAGAAGGGTTCAGTTGTGCTACAGTTTCTTGCTACAGCTATTTCCAGCGATTGGTAGCTTCTCCTAATGTTCACAACCATCTGCAGCAGCCCCTGCTCCTGCCTCAGGCACGTTTCTTTAATTCCTCTCATTAACCAGTCAATTTATGGACAAGTTCTTGCTGGCTGGACAGGGTAAGTTTGACTCTGAAGTGCCCAGTTTTTGACATCCAAAGCTCTCTCATTGTTAGACTCAGCTGTGAAAGCTGCCAGTTCCTCCGGACGATCCGCAGCAGAGAACTCCAGTGAGCTGGAAACAGAGGAGAGAGGAGATCTGATTAAATTTTACAATGCAGTCTATGTAGGACGAGTAAAGGCATTTGCACTGAAGTACGATATCACAAACCAGGATCATGTGGTAAGTAAAGTACTTTGGAATGAATACTCAGAGTCGTTTTTCCTGACAGTTAAACATATGCCAGTAATTTTGTCCTGTCACTCACCTGGTGTGGGTAAAGTCAGATAGTTGTAGGTAATGGTATGAAAAGTTGCTTTAACAGCCTTTCAAGAGAGCTGATGTGGATGCTGTTCAGTTTGCAAACCTGGTTTCAGCTTCTTTACCTCGATGCAACACCCATTTGCTCAAATGCCTGTGGACCATCTCTGTAACACATCTAGACAATTAATTCTGTTATTTGATCGATATTTGATCTGTTGTTTACCTGTCTCAAGATAAAATCTTCTAAAGAAGACGTGGAGGTGTATTAATCTTTCCTTCTGTGCAGTTACTGCTCTTAAACCTTGTGATTGAGCTCCCAGGCAGATGTGTCCTCCCTTGCAGATGGAAGCCCCTCCCTTGTCCCCGTTCCCCAGCATCCGGCAGCAGCCAGTGTCCCCCCGGCGCATCTCCCAGCAACACTCTGTGTACGTGTCCCCTCACAAGAACGGCGCCTGCCTGACGCCCCGAACTGCACTGCTCTACAAGTTCAGTGGGAGCCCTTCCAAGGTACACAGCAAAAAAAGGTTGAAAGGCGGCAGTTTGAGAGTGGGTTAATTAAATCTCCTAATTAGGATGTGGTATAATGCAGTTCTAGTGTGCTGTAATGTCTCTCAGTTTGCACTGAAGGGTAGAATTATGTATGTAGAATCCATCACTCACAGAGGTTCAGAATAACCTTTTGCTCTCAGATATTTGAAAACCAGAGCAAGTTTGAAATGGAGACAGAGTAACTCATGATTTTTTTTATCTTGATCACAGAGTTTGAAGGACATCAACAATATGATAAAACAAGGTGAACACAGGAGCAAGAAGCGAGCAATAACAATTGACAGTGACACTGAATCCCCCACAAAGCGACTCTGCCAGGAAAATGATGATGTTCTACTAAAACGTCTCCAGGATGTTGTCAGTGAAAGAGCAAATCATTAAAACTGCCTGTTTCCTGTGGGATCTAAAAACTATGGAGCTGGATACAGCTGTTGTGCTGTTTATTTCCTGGCTTTGCATACAGACAACTGCCAAGTTTCTTTAACACTGAACTTTTACCTGACTTCCACAGGATGCAAAAAGCAATAGTTAAGTAGGAAATGCCAGTGATCTTCATTCCCAAAGGCCACGCTGTGCTATAACTTTGAGCTGTTATAGCAAGTGTTTTGTAGAAAGCCATATTGGATGTTCTCAGGCCTCACTGGGAGCATCGTGAGTTCTGAGTGTAACTCAGCTTCTAGTAACATTGGTTTTCTTTTTGGAATCAGATTGGTAAAGAAATGAGTGAACTCAGTTTAAGTTTCCTCAAGCTTTTTATATTTGGAGAAAAAATTTTCAAAGTGCCTTATTTTAAAAGAATGTGACATTTTATGCATTATTTTACTGTGGAGTAACTGGAGGGAATAAAAATGGATCATTTAGCCTCAGGAAGAGCTGAGCAGTTTTGAACTGTCAGAACTTCAGTTAAAGTGTAGGTTGTGACATGGATCTGACAGCTTTGCAGTAACGAGGGCAATAATCAAAAAATACAAATAGCAATGACTTAAATTGGACTCTGGTAAAGCACTGAGATACAACTCAGTGAATTCCCTTTCTTTTGAGCCAGGGGGTGCTGCCACGTTGGAAGTTACAGAGCAGCCTGCCCTAGAGGCTTTTCATATGGATGGCAGCTCACCCTGAAGAATTACAAGCGGGTTACAGTTGAAATCAGCAGCTGGGGCAAGATTAGAGCCATAGAGAAACTTCTCAGCACTGTAATTTTCAGTTTCTGTGTAACTGAACTGAAAAAAAAAAAAGGAACGATTACATAGGACTTGTTTGAGGAGCTCTGCTCACTTTGTTGGCTGGGTGGGTTAGTATGGAAGTGTTAGTAAAAACACTGTGATGATTTTGGGCAGTCTCAGCCCACGGATCTGGCCAGGAGTGAGAGAGGAGAAATTGATTCCTAAGAGTGAGGGACACTACTCAGCAAGGAGTAGAAAGTTTACAAACTTGGTTTTCAATTCTGAACTACTTGAATTTTTTTTTTTGGTTTTGTTTTTTTTTTTTACTTTCAAAAAAAGGTGCTTGGTGCTTGGCCATGGAGAGCTGCAGTGTGAGGAAATGGCCATGCAGTGGACTAACTTTCATGTAGATTCTTCAGTTCCTTTAATTTTATTCAAGTTTTAATGTTTGTCTCCAGATTTTGAGGTAAAAAGTGGAGGATTCTAGCCTTTCTGGGTGGGAAATGTATGGTCAGACATAACAGGGTCAGTCTTCTCACAGTATTGTATGACAAGAGTTTAGTTGATTTGGTTTACATTTGACATGACGTGCACATCTCCTCATGTGTCTGGTCCCCACACTGTCACTGCCTTCTCTGAAACCAGAAAACTGATGGTGCCAAAATCCTTATTAGTTGTCATTAAGTGTAGTGTTTCTGCAGTTCAGAATTTTTCACCTTTTTAGGTGTTAGAAAAAATATTTTTGGCTTGTTGAACAGCTAAAACAATAGCTTACATGGAAATTTTGTTAACGGTTTCAAAGTGCCTTCACATGTAAATCTTTGTTTTATAATAAACAACTAAAAAGTATTTTAACCTGTGTTGCTATATTTCCTGTTGTTTTCCTGTGCTAATTCATTAAACAATGCCTTCTGTCTGCATTTTCTGTAATGTCAAAGACCATCATTTTTATATTCCCTCAAATTTCATTGGGATTTTTTTCTTTTTAAATTCATCGTATTTCATGTGTTTTATCTGAAGGTTCCTCCTGAGGTTTCTTTACTGTTTGTGCTTCAGACCAATGTGGTTTCTGGGAGGAGAAGGTGAGTAATACATTTCATGAAGTAACCAAAAAACAAAGGGAGAAAACCCTGCAGTGACAGGTGACATGCCCACAGAGAAAGATGTGACTTCAGCGTAGGTGAGCTGTTGGACTCACTGTGGGCTCCTAGTTCTTATCTCCCAGCACTGCAGCCATGAGATCCACGTGCTAGTACTGGCTGCCCTCCTCCCAGACGTGTTTCAAAACCAGCCTTGGACAGGTTCAGATCTGTACCAGCTGGTTTTGTCACTCCAGGTAAGCATAAAGCTGGCATTAACCCAGAGCTTTTAAATTACTCTTGTTCACCTACTACTCTAGGGGTGGGGAAAAGGCTAATTTGTGCAGATTCTCCTGTAATGATGTTGTTTTAAAAGACTAATCTGTAGTTCAGAGAATCACAGAATATCCTGAGTTGGAAGGGACTAGCGAGGATCATCAAAGTCCAACTTCTGGCCCTGCACAGGACACCCCAACAATCACAGAATGGCTTAGATTGGAAGGGACCTTTTAAGATCATCTGATTCCCCACCCTGTGCCTGAGTGTTGTCCAAACCCTCCTGGAGCTCTGGCAGCCTTGGGGCTGTGCCCATTCCCTGGGGAGCCTGGTCAGTGCCCAACCACCCTCTGGGGGAAGAACCTTTTCCTGAGATCCAACCTGACCCTGCTCTGGCACAGCTCCAGCCCTTCCCTCAGGCCCTCTCAGAGGTCACAGAGCAGAGGTTGGTGCTGCCCCTCTGCTGCTGCTCGTGGGGAAGCTGCAGAACCCCAGGGAGGTCTGACCTCAGTCTGCTCCAGCTGAACAAGCCAAGTGCCCTCTGCTGCTCCTCATGGCCCCTCAAGGCCCTTCACCATCTTTGTAGCCTCCTCTGCATGTGCTCTTTAATGGCTTTATATCCACATATGGAGGCCCCTCAACCTGCCCCAGGACTTGAGGTGAGGCTGCCCCAGTGCAGAGCAGAGCAGGACAGACCCCCCTCACCCTGCTGGGCCTGATGCCCCCCAGGACAGGGTTGGCCTTTGGGGCTGCCAGGGCACTGCTGGCTCCTGTTCCACCTGCCTCAGCCCAAACCTCCCACCCCTTTCCCCAGAGCTCTCTCCAGCCTCTCATTCCCAGTCTGTCTGTACATCCAGAGTTGCCCCCTTGTTGAACTTCCCGTGGTTGGTGAGTGCCCAGTCCTCTCATTTGTCGAGGTCTCTCTGCAGGCCCTCCCTGCCCTCGAGGGACTCAACAGCCCCTCCCAGTTTTGGGTCATCTGCAAACTTGCTCCATGTCCCTTCCAGTGCTGTGTCCAAGTCATTGATGGAGATGTTGGAGAGCACAGGGCCCAGATGGAGCCCTGTGGAACCCCAGTAGTGACAGGTCACAGTCTGATGTCACCCCAGTCACTGTCACCCTCTGTGCCCGACCCCTGAGCCAATTGCTCACCCAGCACAGGATGTGTTTATCCAGCTCTGGGCTGGACAGTTTGTCCAGAGGGATCCTGGGAGAGACAGGATCAAAAGCTTTACAAAATCCAGAAAGATCACATCAACTGGCTTCCCTTGACCAGTCAGGTGGGTCACCTTGTCATAGAAGGAAATCAGGTTGGATAAGCAGGACTTTCCTGTCCTGAAGCCCTGCTGGCTGTGACCAATGACTGCACTGTCTTTCGGGGGTTTTCAATAACTCCCAGAATAATCTATAATTTTACTAGATGCTGACGTGAGAGTGTAGGCAGGCCTGTAGTTTTGTTTCTGGGATCATCCTTCTTGCCCTTCTCGGAAATCAGGACAATGTTCACCGGCTTCCAGTCAGCTGGAACCTCTCTAGATTCCCAAGGGCATTGAGAGGCCTCATGATGACATCACCCAGCTACTTGAGTACTCTTGGATGAATCCCATCAGAGGGATCCATCTGGAGCAGCAGATCCCACACAATGTCAGGGTCAACCGGGAGTTGATCATTCTCACAGTCATGGTCCTCCAGCTCAGGGCACTAGCACCCCCTTAGCCCTTGAAAACCAACGCAAAGAAAGTGTTAAACACCTCTGCCTTTTGTCTCTCCCTGTTTGTGAGGGACCATCCTCATCAAGTAACAGGCTGATGTTATTTCTGCAGTGCCTTTTGCTATTCGTGTATTTTAAACCCCTTTTTATTGTCCCCCACAATACTGCCCAGCACCAATGCTCCAGCTGAGCTTTGGCCACATGAATTTTCTCCCTACAGTGATAAGCAGCAGCTCTGTGTTCCTCCTACATCACCTAAACTTGCTCCCACTGACCACACACTATCTTTTTTTTGCCTTAGCTCCAGAGGAAGATCCCTGCCCAGCCAAGCTGGCCTTCTGCCTCGCCTCTTTGCCTTCTGATATTTGGGAATTGCCTGCTCCTGTGCCCTTCAGAGATGGAGCTTAAAAAGTGACCAGCACTGATGAACCTCAGCGCCTCCAAAAGCATTTCCCCAGGGAACCTTACCAACTAATTCCTTGAGCAGCTTGAGCTCTGCTCTCCTCATGTCCAGAGCTGAGGTTTTGCTGGCACTTTTCCACCTGTCAACAGAGATTTTAAACTCGATCACTTTGTGATTGCTGTGGCCAAGACAGCCCCAACCGCCCCTTCACTCCCAGCACCTATTTCTGTTAACAAGCAACAAATCAAGGAGAGCACCTTTCCCAGTCAGCTCCCTTAGTACCTGTACCATGACATTATGATCCAAATGTTTTAGCAATCTTCTGGACCAGTTTGTACCAGCTGTGTGGTATTCCCAGTTAACCTCTGTCAAGCTGAAATCAGATAATGAAACAGGAGGGTAAGCCCAAAAGAGTTAACTAAGAAACTTGGGCCTACTAACAGGTTACTTACATTCAAAACGATTTGTTCTGTACTGCTAACTGGACCGAAGTTTAACAGAGTGCTAAGGTACATGTAATGGGCCTAGAGGTGATAAATTAAGATTCAGTAAGCTAAAGTAGACATTTGAATAGGAGAAATAGGCTGGGAGCCAGGGCTTTCTCCAAGCTTGAGCGAGCGGGTCAAGAACAATGGAAAGGAAGAAAGGTTGGACTGAGGAAGATGAGAATACGCCCCCTGCCCATGGGATGAAGATCAGTTGTACCCCTAAAATTGGGGGCCAAGAGAAGCGCCGCCCCAAGCTCCGCCTGAGCTCCACCTATACTCCGCCTGTTATCAATATGTATGAATAGGGTTGTTATAATCACTGGAATATGCATTTAATCACACCTGAAAAATTGTATAAAACTGCTGATTTTGTGTGAAGCCTTTGAGCAAGTTTTTCCAGCAATAACTGGCTTGCTCCCAGCGCTGCTAATAAATACCTTTGCTGCTTAAAGATAAAAAGTCTCTGAGCAGTTTCTCAGACCGATTTTTTGGATTTAATAAGGTGATTGATTTAGATGTGTTTCTTAGTGTTCCATAGTAGACTCCCACGATGACACACATTTGTTTGTTTGTCCCTTAATATTACCCAAGGATCAGTTATCAGGCAAGGGGATGTTGAAGGGTATAGCCAGGAAAACCTGGCTGCTTTTCCCTTTGTGAGTTTGTTTTTGCAGACAAGACTGCCAGTGAGGGGACAGCATGGGGGCAGCCTGAAGTGAGAAACCAAGTCATTGTATCCCAGACTTGCAAACCATCCTGTCTGCTGGGGCAGAGGTTTTTCACTAATTCTTCAAATGAAAATATCACCTCCTTAAAACTCCTTGAAGTGGATTCAAAGCTTCCATGTTTACTACAGTTCAGCTTTCTACAGAGTCAAAGTTAAAAGGTTATTCCCACCCCTGAGGAGAATACCATAAATCTGCTAGCTCTTTACATATAAGCAGTATGTTAATATTATGTTGCCACATCCTAAGTTTTGTACTAAGATGTGGCCTCAAGAAAATTTGTGGTTAGAGTGCAATTAAGCAGCAGGGGGAATCGAAACTGATTTTCTCTTTAGTTTCCTGTTAGGAATTACTCTTCTTGTGTTGCTGTCCTGTGACTCATGAAGAGTTTTTTGTAATTTGATGCCTGAGGAGTGGTGAGAATTGAAATTGGAGACACAATAGAAACTATGAAGTTATAAAGAAACTGTAAGCATGTAAGGAGTGCTGGGATCTCAGACCAAAGAAGTTGAATGTGTCTAAATCTGTCTTAATGCCAAAGTCACTGAGCAAACAAAGATTACTCAGTTTGATTACCGAAATCAAAATTTACAGTAAGCACATAAATCACTGCCCAAGTAGCAGTTCTTGAAAGACTGGTGTCAGTTGAACACAATGCCAAACTCCTAAAACTTTTCACTTCCTTCAGTGACCAGAAGTGCATTGGAGGGGAAGTGCATCAGAGGTGGATGATGCTTGTGGTTCCCAGCTCGGCCACAGCCAGCGCTGGCGCTGCCCTGCTCCACCTGAAGGCTGGGCAGAGCTGCTGGGGCACAGGGCTCACACGGTGCCTCGTCCTGAAGGTTTGTACACCTCAGTAACGGGGAAGCTTTTGTTCCAGGGAGCCGAGTTTCCCTGCACGTGTGCGCCACAGCAGCGCTCCTGTGACCCGGCGCTGCCCCTCAGCTGAGGCACAATGGACTCGAGCTGCAGGAGCTTTACTGCAAGCACCTTCTCAGCCTTGTCTTACATGTCACCCATCGTGGGTCCCTGTCACAGCAAAACAGTTTTGCAAGGGCTCAGTCACACGAATTTCAGTTAGTCCACGTGTAAATACGGGGCTCAAGCAGATGAGGTTGTGGAACAAACTGGTGCCAAGTCACAGATGGCTTTGTCGTGAACTTTCCAGTTCCTTGGTAGTGAGTTTGTGGCACTGCCTCATGGAGTCTATCCAGTGGTGGCTGCCCCATCCCTGGGAG